TCCAGAGAAGCAGCAGATATGATCAGAGCTTAAGGGCACATTCCAGCCATTCAGAATCATCTGGGGTGGCAATTTTCGTTCTGCTCAGGGGGACCCTTGATGTCTGCAGAAAATATTAAGTGGGATCAATGTGCTTGTTTGGAAAAGCATTCCAAGACTGCCCTTCACAGGGCTGCACCAGTAGGACCCCAGTAAGGATGGCCAGACAAACCAGCAGGCAGCTAGAGACCAGCATGGTGGGGTCTAAGAATCTACTGGGAGGGAAAGGAAAAGGGAGAAAAAGGGGAGAAGTTAAAGAGATGCCTATTTCTTAAGTGGGGGAGGGGGACAAGAACCCTTATACACCTTATAGGAAATGTAGTGCAGAATTTGGAGCATTTGTGGGAAGCCTCTATGGAAACAAAGTTAAACATGATTGGATGAGACCTGATATAAACAGCTGCATTCCATCTTGTCTGTGACAAGCAGACTGGTACTGTGCATTGTATATCTTTTGAATTATGAACCCCTCCTCCAGCTACACAAATTAAAGATAATCATCTCTGGCCTTGTCTCAGTGTCTCTAGGCAAAAGGACACAACATGGTCCTGCAACGTGGCATTTCTCCTTCCAAGGAATATTGTTTCTTAAAACAAAGTCCTGGTTCTTTGAGATGGCCATCAGTCACTGGGACTTGTTTCTCCTCTTTGGCAACTTTGCAGAGCTTGACCTTTCAAATATCACCTTATTCGCTTGTCATTTATACTCAGTTTATACCTGAATATGTTAAAATTAGTATCATTATCAAGGTAACAAGCATATATCCACAAAATCTTCAGACCCATTTTGCAAAATAGTATCTGACTTATTTTGGTGTGTGACATGTATGCACAGTTACCTGGGTAAAACTCATAGGTAGGGATGGAGTGGCTATACTACCGATTTTTGTTGTTCTGGGTATAATATGCAATACTACCTCTTCATTTCTATTTATCAGGACAGGTAGATGGAAATTCCATCTTACAAGTGCGATTCTCCTTCCCAGGGCTATTTTTCTTGAAAAAGAGGTGCTGGAACCTTCCACGACATAGCTGTCAACTTTCCCCTTTTCTTGTGAGGAATCCTATTCAGAATAAGGGAATTTCCCTTAAACAAAGGAAAAAGTTGACAGCTATGCACCACGAACACCCCCCTTGCTCTCTTATAATGGCAACGGCACCATCTGAGAGGTTTTAGGACTGAGTTCTGGTGAGTTCCACCTGGGGAAAAAGCCTGCCCTTGCCCACTCCACAAAGACACACAGAGAATTCATATCTCCATTTTTGGAGACAGTATATATCTCACTGCAGAAAAAAATAGGACTCTCTTCTGGTCAAAGTTCAGGGGCTGCCAATGTGGTGCTCACAAAATATATTTAAGCAAGGGGGACCTCAGGGCAGGGCACTGACTAATGTCAATGGGCCCTGCCAGAAAGTGGATTCTTAACAGCTGCCCAAGAATGACAGGGGCTGCCTCCAGCTTTAGAAAGGAGCGAGTCAAGTGGAAAACTTCTCGTACAGCTGCTTTCCAAGCATGGCACAATTGGAAGTGTTGGCGAGACCTGAGACAAACAGCTGCATCCCATCCCATGGCAGTGGGGTCATCAGCAGCAGAGACTCAACTGTATGGATGACTCAAATGTTGGACTCCATCCCCTCCCCTTTTGTTGCTTAGGAACCTGCCTTAAACTGCATGATTATCAGAATCATCATCTTGCTTCCACCCCTCCCTCTGCTAAATAAACTTTTGTAATCACCCATCTCCCACCATTATGTTAAATTACCCACTGGTTTCCCCCCTTCTTCCTTTCAGGAAATCTGGGGGCTGGTTGACTGTTGGGATTGCCAAATGTTTTATACTCCCACCCCCTGCAGCAAGTTATGATGAATCTTTTTCAAGCCAAGAGCCACACTCATTTCTGGGCTACCTTCTGAGGGCCACATGCCAAAGGCAAGCAGGGCCAGAAGTCAAAGTGTGTCAAGCAGCAAATGTAAATTTTACTAGGATATCTTCTACACAGATCCATGCACACTCCCTTCTATAGTCGCATCCAGACAAGCAGGAGAATACCTTCCAACATGCTGCAGATGGAAATCAAGGTGCATGTGTTTCAGGGCCGTACTTGTGCAAGTACATGTCTTTCAGGGCCACACTCTCTCAGAAGCCAATATGGGACATCCCAGGAGCCAATCAGAAGCCAGGGTGGCTTTTGTAATACCAGGGTGTCCCGCTCAAAGCAGGACAGAGTATGCAAGAGGCATTATCAGAGCTCAAGGACACATTCAACCCTGACAAAAATAATGAGTATGTTTATGATTAGTATATTTGTTTATATCCTGCATATCAGTTATTCAGCTGGTGTCATTTCTTCAGCTGCATAAAATCCCAGGGAACAAATATCAAATTTTATTGCAGACCCAACAGTCTGTGTATCAAATATTACATTTCCAAACATCAGAAACTTACAGTTCTACAAATGTTGGCCTGGCTAGGAAGATGGCGATTTTAAGTGTGTGACACCTGGGGGGTTGCATTTGGCTCCCAGTCCTGAGGTTCCCCACCTCCAGTTTTGAGGCTGAATTTCTTCATAAATAAGAAGTTAACACCCAGAATGTACAAGATACGAAGATATTTGAGCGGGCAATATATAAGTGCCACATCTTATCCTACTCTGGGGAGGAGACATGGGTTTGGACATTCTCATGTGCCAGATAAGAGAGGGATTATTAGCTCCCTGATACTGAGGTCTCCCCACCCCCAATTTGCCACTTCTGCACTGATCTCCTTCCTTTGCCATGTGTCCTTAGGAAATCCTCTCCACAAAATGTCCTGGGTATTGGCCTGGCCAGCTCTAAGTGGTCCAAAACTATGTGATTCTGAGGACCTTATGGGGAGGCAAATTCCCCACATCAGCGAAGATCATGGTGAGTTAGGTGGACTGACGGCTTATCTCAGCACATGCTAAGTCATATTTGGACTAACATGAAGCAGGAAAGAAGAAAAGAAGGAAGGCTGGAGAGGAAGTACAGTGGTACCTCGGGTTAAGTACTTAATTCGTTCCAGAGGTCCGTTCTTAACCTGAAACTGTTCTTAACCTGAAGCACCACTTTAGCTAATGGGGCCTCCTGCTGCCGCTGCGCCGCCGGAACACGATTTCTGTTCTCATCCTGAAGAAAAGTTCTTAACCCGAGGTACTATTTTTGGGTTAGCGGAGTCTGTAACCTGAAGCATATGTAATCTGAAGCATATGTAACTCAAGGTACCACTGTAAGGTACTTTACCAACCAGCAGTTACCAAAAGAGAGGGGGAAATGGGTTGCCTTTCTATCCATCACTCCCAGTTGGTTTAGGTAGCATATTGCAAGCCTTCTCGCTTTACTCCCAACAGAAACATGAGCAACTTTCCTGATGAAAAGCACCCGCCACCCCGCAACCCAAGCTGTGTTTTACAAAAACAAGAAAAAGGAAAAAAAGAATATCTGGTCACAGACAGTGTCTATTATGTTCATAATTTTGAATATTCCGGTTCTTGTGAAAAAAAAGTGTTTTGTTATGCAGGAGTTTGTTAAAGATTTGCCTAATTCACTCTGAAAAGAACTAGTTTCTCTGATTTCCTACTTTCACTCATAAAGAGCTACTAAGCTCTTCATAAGCAGAATGTAGGCACAGGGACACACATTTTGCTTTTGATAGAATGAGCTTTATTGAGAGAATAGCCATTGAGAGAAAGCAACAGAATGCGTAGTTAGAAGCCTGGCGTCATTGTCCTTAGAGCCACAGCTCCCAGGGTCCCCTGAAAAGGGCAAATGACTGTTAAACTGGGGAAATTCAATGATGTGGTTGCATTGCAGGGAGAAATGGCCAAAGAAGCGTTCTGGCTTCAATGGGCAGAGTGTGGCTTGCGTGGTTTTCTGCCTATCACAGCACCTTCTCCAGGTGAACGGGCTTCTTGTTTTCACAGGTCACACGAACGCGTTTGGAGGTCTCTGTGCCTTTGTATTTGCAGTCCTTAGGAGGTTTACCATCGGTGTAGCTGCAGTCAATCATGGGGAAGTTCTCGTTGCTGTCATAGAATTTACCTTGCCACTGCGTCCCACCATTGCCGCAGACTTGTAGGACAGACTCCTTGTCATGATTGATGAAAGTATTCCTCGGTTTGCATCTACTTGGGTTTAGATTCCTCTTCACCATCATGAGGTTGCAGTAGGCACTGGGGTTGGAGGCTCGGGTCTGGGGATAATCAATGTGCTTGTTTTGAAAAGCTTCCCAAGACTGCCCTTCGCAGGACTGCACCAGGAGGATGCTGAGAAGGATGGCCAGACGAACCAGCGGGCAGCCAGAGACCAGCATGGTGGCGTCTAAGAATCTTCTGGGAGGAAAAAGAAGAGGAAGAAAAGGGGAAAACATTAAAGAGATGTCTATTTCTTAAGGCATCTTATACACCTTACAGGAAATACACCTACAGTATTTTTCGCTCTATAAGACGCACCAGACGACAAGACACACCTAGTTTTTGGAGGAGGAAAACAAGAAAATAAATACTCTGAATCTCAGAAGCCAGAACAGCAAGAGGGTTCGCTATGCAGTGAAAGCAGCAATCCTTCTTGCTGTTCTGGCTTCTGGGACAGCTGCGCAGCCTGCATTCGCTCCATAAGACGCACACACATTTCCCCTTACCTTTTAGGAGAGAAAAAGTGAGTCTTATAGAGCAAAAAATACGGTATATAGGACATTTCCTTATAGGAAATGTGGTGGGAGAATATGTAGCATTTGTTGGAAGCCTCTATTGAAACAAAGTTAAATATGATTGGCACGAATGGGAGGTCCTGAATAAATGACAAAATATATTTAAGCAAGGGGGACCCTGCCAGGAGTCTGGGATTCTTATTTATATATATACATAAATGAATTTATTGGTTTTACATATAATCACATTATGTAACATTGTAGCCTCTTATTTTATCTCTTTGGCTCAACTGAACCTAATGACTTCACTCTATCCAATCTGATGGTTTCCAAAATTAAACTTTACACCTTTACATTTCGCTTCATTTCCTATCCTTGTTACAGCATTACCTAAAATATTATATTACTCAACCTGAATAGGTAGCAATTTCATCTTACAAATCTTCACATAACCCTGCTAATGATGGGAATCTGGGGTTCTTAAAAGCTGCACCAGGAGCTGGCACCAGCTGTGTTCACAGAGCAGCCTTCATTCACATCCACAGCCGGGGCTTTAAGGAGACTGAGGGCTTAGCCACACTTTAATTTCCATGTATTGTGATGTATCACTAAAGAACGAGCTCTCCCTTGGAAAGGAGTGGGTCAAGTGGAAAACCACTTGGACCTCTGCTTTCTAAGCATGGCACAATTGGAAGTGCGGAGGAGACCCGAGACAAATAGCTGCATCCCATCCCATGACTGTGCAGACCTAACAGCAGCAGACACTCAGAGACTCAACTATATGAATGACTCAGATGTTGGACTCCATCCTCTCCTCCTTTGTTGCTTAGGAACCTACCTTAAACTGCATAACTATCAGAATCATCATCTTGCGCCCAGCCCTCCACCTGTTAAATAAACCTTTGTAATCACCTATGTCCCACCATTATGTTTCCCCCCTTCTTCCTTTCAGGAAATCTGGGGGCTGGTTGACTGTTGTGATTGCCAAATGTTTTATAGTACACAAACACACAATGCATCCTACTGCAGCAAGTTAGGGCCAGAGGTCAAAGTGTGTCAAGCAGCAAATGTAAAATTTACTAGGATATCTTCTGCACAGATTCATGCACACTCCCTTCTATGTCGCATCCAGACAAGCAAGAGAACCCTCCAACATGCTGCAGATGGAAATCAAGGTGCATGTGTTTCAGGGCCGTACTTGTGCAAGTACATGTCTTTCAGGGCCACACTCTCTCAGAAGCCAAAATGGGACATCCCAGAAGCCAATCAGAAGCCAGATAGCTTTTGTAATACCTGGGTGTCCAGCTCAAAGCAGGACAGAGTATGCAAGAGGCATTATCAAAGTTCAAGGATGCATTCAAACCTGGCAAAAATAATGAGTATGATTATGATTAGTATATTTGTTTATATCCTGCATATCAGTTATTCAGCTGGTATCATTTCTTCAGCTGCATAAAATCCCAGGGACCAAATATCAAGCTTCATTGCAGACCCAACAGTCTCTGGTATCAAATGCAGTGGTACCTCGGGTTGCATACACTTCAGGTTACAGACGCTTCAGGTTACAGACTCCGCTAACCCAGAAATAGTACCTTGGGTTAAGAACTTGGCTTCAGCATGAGAACTGAAATCGTGCTCCGGCGGCACAGCGGCAGCAGAAGGCCCCATTAGCTAAAGTGGTGCTTCAGGTTAAGTCAAGTTTCAGGTTAAGAATGGACCTCTGGAACGAATTAAGTACTTAACCCGAGGTACCACTGTATTAGATTTCCAAACATCAGAAACTTACAGTTCTACAAATGTTTGCCTGGCTAGGAAGATGATAATTTTGAGTGAGAGAGACCTGGGGGGGGGGGGGACATTTAAGCGGTCCAAAACTATGTGATTTTGAGGACATTATAGGGAGGCAAATTCCCCACATCAGCGAACATAATGGTGAGCTAGGTGGACCGAGGGCTTATCTCAACACATGCTAAGTCATATTTGGACTAACATGAAGCAGGAAAGAAGAAAAGAAGGAATGCCGGAGAGGAAGTAATGTACTTTACCAACCAGTAGTTACCAAAAGAGAGGGAAGAATGGGTTGCCTTTCTTTCTTTCTTTGGGGAACAGGAGGCAGGCAGGTGTGGAGGATTCCCTGGTCCTGAATGGGGTAACTGTGCCCCTGAAGGACCAGGTGTGCAGCCTGGGAGTCATTTTGGACTCACAGCTGTCCATGGAGGCACAGGTCAAATCTGTGTCCAGGGCAGCTGTTTACCAGCTCCATCTGGTACGTAGGCTGAGACCCTATCTGCCTGCGGACTGCCTTGCAAGAGTGGTGCATGCTCTGGTTATCTCTCGCTTGGACTACTGCAATGCGCTCTATGTGGGGCTACCTTTGAAGGTGACCCGGAAACTACAACTAATCCAGAATGCAGCAGCTAGACTGGTGACTGAGAGTGGCCGCCGAGACCATATAACACTGGTCTTGAAAGACCTACATTGGCTCCCAGTTTCCAAGCACAATTCAAAGTGTTGGTGCTGACCTTTAAAGCCCTAAACGGCCTCAGTCCAGTATATCTGAAGGAGCGTATCCACCCCCATCGTTCTACCCGGACACTGAGGTCCAGCACCGAGGAGCCTTCTGGCGGTTCCCTCACTACGAAAAGCCAAGTTAGAGGAACCAGGCAGAGAGCCTTCTCGGTAGTGGCGCCCTCCCTGTGGAACGCCCTCCCACCAGATGTCAAAGAGAACAACAACTACCAGACTTTTAGAAGACATCTGAAGACAGCCCTGTTTAGGGAAGCTTTTAATGTTTGATGTATTTTACAGTATTTTAATATTTTTTTGGAAGCTGCCCAGAGTGGCTGGGGAAGCCCAGCCAAATTGGCAGGGTACAAATAATAAATTATTATTATTATTATTATTATTATTATTATTATTATTATTATCCATCACCCCGTGATTGGTTCAGGTAGCATATTGCAAGCTGTGTCGCTTTACTCCCAAAAGGAACATGAGCAACTTTCCTGATGAAAAGCACCCCCCAACCCAAGCTGTGTTTTACAAAAACAAAAAAACAAAACAAAAAAGAATATCTGTTCACAGACAATGTCTATTATGTTCATCATGTTGTATATTCCGGTTCTTGTGGAAAGAAAGTGTTTTGTTATGCAGGAGTTCGTTAAAGATTTGCCTAATTCTCTCTGAAAAGAACAAGTTTCTCTGATTTCCTGCTTTCACTCGTAAAGAGCTTCTGAGCTCTTCATAGGCAAAACGTAGGCACAGAGACACACATTTTGCATTTGATAGAATGAGCTTTATTGAGAGAATAGCCATTGAGAGAAAGCAACAGAATGCTTAGTTAGAAGCCTGGTGTCATTCCCTTCACCTCTGCCTACCAAAGAGATAGGGAACAGGCCCCCATTTCCTCAAGGGCTATGCTTCCTTATTTGTGAAGGATCTCATTTCAGACTCCTCTGGGTGCAAATCAGCCGCTTAGAGGAACCAGAACCCCAAATGCGAATGAATGAATGAATGAATGAATACAATGAATTATTGTATCCTGCTCATCTGGACAGAATATACACAACTTACCCAAGTTCAATCCGGTCTTGAATTATGTGTACGACTTTTCGAAGAGGCGAGCCTGTTCTTCAAGCTGCTGCTGCCCAAAGCTTAAAAGGGGCAGGGCACGGGGAAAAGAAGAAATGAACTTCAAGCCACTTGCCCAATAGGAGTTTACCAGAGAATCTGAAATGTTTGAAATTTAACCAACAATTATGCAACATGGCTCTGTAAAAAAAAAAAAGGAAAAAAAGAATGTAACACCGATAAGAAAGGGGTGTGGTGGTAAAATGAACAGAGGGCAATGTTTGCCTACACCTGCTGATTTCTGTATATCACTCCAGATATGCACCAGAGCAAGCCAGGGTCATTGTTTCACTAGCCAAGCTGACATGCTTCCAGAACTTGTTGCCGGTTCATTTCCAGGCCCAAGTCGAGGTTCCCACGTTAGTTTTTTGTGGGGAGGTGGGGGCTTTTGCAGCCGTTACTTGCCACCGCATTTCTGAGCCCAATTTAAAGTGCTGTTTTTACAAACTTAATAAATGTTGGAAATGTAAAGAAACTGAAGGTACATTCTTTCACCTTTGGTGGACGTGCCCAAAGATTAAGGCTTTCTGGGAAATGATATATAATGAACTGAAAAAGGTATTTAAATATACCTTTCTGAAGAAACCAGAGGCCTTTCTCTTGGGCATTGTCAGCCAACTGGTGCCAAAGAAGGACAGAACCTTTTCATGTATGCTACAACAGCAGCAAGAATACTTATCGCAAAGTATTGGAAGACACAAGATCTACCCACTTTGGAAGAATGGCAGATGAAGGTGATTGACTACATGGAATTGGCGGAAATGACTGGCAGAATCCGAGACCAGGGAGAAGAGTCGGTGAAAGAAGACTGGAAAAATTTAAGGACTATTTACAGAAATATTGTAAAATTAAGGAACTTTAGAAGGATGCTGGATAGAAATTAAGAGGTTTTTAGCTGTAATGCTTTAAGAGACATGGGGAAAAAAGGTTAACAATTGGGTAAAAGATTAATGGTAAGGATTTGCTGAACCAACAAACTGAATTGGAATACAAAGAAGGGAGGTATGAGGAGGTCTGGGGAAATAAGAGTAAGGAAGATAGGTTATGGAACATTATTGTGTTTTTAACTGTTTTATTTTGTATGTTTCTTCCTACTTTTTGCTTTTTTGCTGTAATTTACACTTTTTTCTTTGTTTTCTGTATTTTTGTGAAACTTTAATAAATATCATTTAAAAAAATAAATAAATAAAGTGCTGTTTTTAATCTTTAAAGCCCCAAACGACTTTGACTCAAGGTGTGGAGAACTGATGCTGCTCAGTGGTCACAAAATGCTAATTAATGCGGTGAAATGGAAAACCAGGGGGGGAAGCAAATGCAATGGAGTCTCCTGGATGAGGCCATGCCTGGCTAACTGGCTGCCGGAAAACCTTAACCAAAGCACTCTTCATGAAACATTCTGTTGCAGGACCCACTCATTTCAATTCTTTTTCAAAAAACGATCCTGTCATTTCATTGACTTGTATTCTTTTGCACTTCACCAAAGGTGTAAGCAATCTTAGATGTCTCTTTCTGGACAGAAAAGATGGTGTAGATGTTATTCAAATGCACAAATGATTAACAAGGCAAATAGTGAACCCTGTCACCATTGCAATGAAATATGACCCCACCACAAATAAATTCACACTTACATCTTAAGGAAAGTTTTATTAGCATTTATCTTCTACACTTGCAGCTATTGAAGCACATGCAGAGCAAATATACTGTATGGATAACAAAGTTTGATTTCAAAGGGTACATCCATACTATGCCCTTATAAGGGCCGTGTATCATGGCTATGGCTCCCCCCCTCAAAGGTTCTTGGGAATTGTAGTTTGGGGAAAATTTGGGAGTTTTTGGCAGTCCTTCTCACAGAACTACAGTTCCCAGGGTTCTCTGGAGACAGCAAGGAAAGCTCTTTATATTATTAGAATTTCAGCTCCGTTCATCCGAGCTGATAAGGCTCATCTTTTTTTGAGCCCACCCAGCAGAGCATTAAAACAACAAATTCCACAACGGAAGGATGAGGCAGGTATGATGCTACATTGCTACTTTATTACTAAGCTATGCAGAGAGCAAAAAAATATACATCATATACATCTTGTCTCTATGAGAGCAGAGAGCAACTGAACAAAGAAACGACAGAACAAAAGAAACAGGAAACCAGTAACGTCACATCCCGTCTCCCTTTCCCGTGAGAATCCAACAGTATCTGACTCTGTGGAATGTAAACAGTCCTATGACTGCAAGCAGCTGCTCAGTGAGGGAAACAGAAACTAACATATATAACATAAAGTACGACTTTTCTGTTATGGGACAATGGCCTTGGGTTAAGCATGATCTGTGTCCGTTGTCTCGGGAGGCCTGGTCCTTTAATAAAAGAAAGCCCCCAAGATGTCCTGGAGATCAGAGAAGATCCACTGGGGAGTCCCCTTCCTTTGCATCCCAAGTATCTCCCAAGCACAGTTGAATCCAGGCCCTTGCTACAGTTCATGTTTGCAGATGTAGGAGTTCAGTTTGTGGCACTTTGCATCATTCCACTTGGAGAATTCTAAGAGCAAAAGAAATGTCCAACAGTTGACAGATTCCTCTCCCTTGTGTGGATGATCTTGTACAAATAAACTACTAAGATACTAATATGGTGTCAATGACTAGTTACCGAAAAGCAGGAACACAACAGCAGCTCTCCCCTCCTGCATGTTACAGCAACTGATATTGAAAAGCATAGGTAAAAGGTAAGGGTAAAGGACCCCTGGATGGTTAAGTCCAGTCAAAGGTGACTATGGGGTTGTGGCGCTCATTTCACTTTCAGGCAAAGGGAGTTGGCGTTTGTCCACAGATGGCTTTCTGGGTCATGTGGCCAGCATGACTAAACCGCTTCTGGCACAATGGAACACTGTGACGGAAACCAGAGCGCACGGAAATGCTGTTTACCTTCCCACTGTAGCGGTACCTATTTATCTACTTGCACTGGTATGCTTTTGAACTGCTAGGTTGACAGAAGCTGGGGCAGAGCAGTGGCAGCTCACTCTGTCATGGGGATTTGAACCGCCAGCCTTCCGATCAGCAAGCCCAAGAGTCTCAGTGGTTTAGACCACAGGGCCACCTGCGTCCCTATTGAAAAGCATACTGCTTCCCTAGCCATGGAGGATGAGTACAGCCCTTGTGGCTAGTAGCCACTGACGGCTTCATCCTTCATGAATTTGTCCTCTATTAAAGTCACCCCGCTGGCATCAGCCTATGACAAAGCGGGGTGCATCTGTCTCCCTTATTACTGACTTTCAGAAGGAATTTTAAAACACCCCTGTTTACCCAGGCGTTTGGTGACAGAAGGGTACTGTTCCTTTCAAATGTGGAATCACTGGTTAAGGGACTTTAAAAAAAACTGTTTTAGAAGGTTTTAAACTCTTTTTATAATAATTAGAAATATTATTGATGTGTTTGCCACCCTGGGCTCCTTTGGGAAACAGGGTGAGATATAAATTGAAACAATAAGTAATAATAATGTGCAAATGTTATTGTCATTCTTTATGTTTCTTAGTTATTTGCACAAACATCTCAAAACAACTTACAAATCATAGTAAAAGACACAACATATAAAAAGCTAAATAATTGAAAGCAATGCGCAATTGGTGAAATACACAAATAGAAGTATCCTATCATTGTAGATTATTGAATAGGCCCTTGATAACAACTGAACAGGGAAGTCTTTGATTCTGGATGGTACTAAATCTTTTTTTAACCTGCACGTTCACTGCGAACTCTTTCTTCAGGATGGCATCTTATTTCATGTGCACTTCCCATGGGGGCTCCTACTGCTATTTGCTCAGGTGCGCCATCACCAGGAACAACTTCCTCTCTCACAGAATGCCTCAGTTCAACACAATACTCATCCTTCCCCAAGTTGTTGGGTGCCCCTGGCATCCATGCTTTGTAGTTGTAGGTAGACTCATCTGACCACCTCCATATTCCACTCTGTAGAGTGACGAGAGAAAGTAACCAAGGGGACAACCCAGACAAGAATTTCAAAAAGAATGGGGGAAATGCAGAGAACAGTGCCCCAAAATATATACCCGGACTTGTTTCGATTAATTTCTACAGGAGACTTTGTGTTTTTTTAAGTCATAACTAGGAAAAATTGTAATAATCACATATAAAAGAAACAGTATACAAGAAGTAAATAAGGAGGCCATTTACAGGATAAAGGAAGTCTTTTATTTTTATGTTTGTTTTCTTTATGTAAAGGGATAGGAGTTTAATTTTGATAATTAAATTGTCAATGGTGGTGGGTTTGTATGTATGAGTTGTTGTGGACTATGTTGTAAATAAATTATTAATAATTTAAAAAAAAAAAAAAGTTTGGAGGTGAAGGGATACTGGTTCTCCTATGACCTCAGTTCATGGGCCCTACATCCTGGAGCCTATCAACCCAGAAACAACCCATCAACCATTAAATAACAGTTGTACATCATGGTAGTCCACATAGCACTGCAAAACTGGAGGACCTGTTCCATAACTAAGATGTCTACAGCCCTAAATTGATTGGGCAGGCCTTACAAATCCACTACTAACACCCAAGGCAACCTCTATGGCTGACAGGGAGTGGCCTCCGAAATTCACAGCTGAGAGGAAGACGTTAGGGATGCAATGGCACTCCATGTGAACAACGTTTGTTAGAAGGTGCCTTTCCCATGGAGAACACTGGCAGAGCAGAAATGTAGCAGTTTCCAGATACTCACATGTCGGATGTCATGCAAACCAATCCAGACATTGCTGATGTCAGTCTGGTAAGCAGCGATGTGATTGGCTACCACGAGGGTCTCTGCGGGGGTAAGGAGGGAAGCAAGGTGAGCCCCACGCCTGTAACTCTGGCACTCGATCTAGACAAGGACAATAACAAAGGCTGTTTTTTTCCACATTCTGCTACTCTTTCGTGGGACATCATGTGGCTTAAAGCAAGAAGAATTGTGATGAACAAGGAATTTTTCTTTTTCTTTTTCTTTCCTTTTTTGAAATTTTTGAAATTTGATTTTACAACACACAGCTACGATTAAAAGATTCCCCCAAATCTCTGGACTTCCCACCTTCCCCTGCAAGGGTTCTGTAGTTGTTTTTTAGCTCTATTATCTCCATAGTACCCATTACATTACAAGTGTTATTGCAATCCTGCTAATGTTTTCATTAGTGTACAGTGGTCCCCAAGATAAATTATAATTTTTTTCATTCCTTATTAAAGTTATGGTCTTCTTGGCTTTGAGTGTTCTGGTCGATTTTGCCATTTCAGCATAGTGAAACAATTTAATTTGCCATTCTTCTCTTGTAGAGAATTTGTCTTCTATCCATCTCTGAGCTAATAGCATCCATGCTGCTGTTGGAATAAGGAACTTTTCAGGGTTGAGAACCTCAGGCCCAGAGGTTGAATGGGGGCCCTTAAAAACTTTATCCGGCCCACAAAACTATTCTTAGGCCTCATGCCCTCTTCCCAGGTGAGCACCCTCATTGGCCCTACTTCACACCCCAAGTGTTTTCTTCCTAGCTTGAATGTATCATTGAACTCTGATAATACCACTTGCTTTCCTGGCTAGAGAAGGGTGTGTAGAAATACTACAAAGGTAAAATTCACTTTTGTCTCTGGCCCTGCCCATCACTGTCATGTGGCCCTCCGGGGGTTCCCAGGGTGGAATACAGCCCTCAGTCCGAAAAGGGTTCCTCACCCCAGCCTGAGGGAAAACCTTGACTTTTCCACAGCTTCACAAGATTGCCTCAAGAACAGTGTCAGGTCAGACACCTGCCAAGGGCCTAGATGTATGGAAGGGCTCGTCGCCAAACCTCCCAAACCAACTGTGATAAAGATTCCAACACTGGGCACTGTGGGATCCACACATTGCATCAACCCACCACGATATGGACCCAAGCTTCAGCTCAACTCCCAGAATAACTGCTGCCGCCATCAGGAAAACACATCTGCAGGGAGGAGAGAGGTGGTTTGAAAGACTGCCAGAGACAACAAGCAGCCATGCCACATAGGGGCTGTGATGTCGGGAGGATGGCAGAGGCAGCAGCACCCCATTAAAACAAAACAAAGGGATAATACAGTGGTACCTCTGGTTACAAACTTAATTCATTCCAGAGGTCTGTACTTAACCTGAAACCATTCATAAGCTGAGGTACCACTTTAGGTAATGGGGCCTCCCAATGCCGCTGCACCGCCGCCGCAAAATTTCTGTTCTCATCCTGAGGTAAAGTTCTTAACCCGAGGTACTACTTCCGGGCTAGCGGAAGTGTTTGTAACCCGAGGTACCACTGTAATTCTTTCCTGTCTTTAGCTAGCTGTTTCCTGGCTGTCTCCTGGGATTCTTCCGGCTGCCATAAGGATGGAGAACCATGAAAAGCAACATTGAACCTCCTTTTGGACCTCCATATCTTGAGAGCCATTTACCTAACTTAGGCAAAACCAGCTGGCCGCTTACCTCTGCCTCATGCCAGGTCATCTGAGTCTCAAAATAGCCATAGCAATTGCCCTGGTATTGCAGCCACTCTCTGGCACAGGTGTCAGCTTTCACTGCTCAGGAGAGAGACAAGAAAAACAGGAATGATTGTGAGGAGTGAGACAAGGACGGAGAGAAGTTTGCTTTCCAAACCACAGGCACTCAGCGCCCCTTGCTTCTTTAATTGGCACCAGGGGCACTGCTAGGAGGGGTGACCCGGGGGGGGGAGAGAACAAAGGTATTTCACGGGGGGTATTTCCTGCAAACAGCAAGGACCCTGATACAATTCATACTTCTTCTTTTTTTGAAGAGGCCCAAGGAGAGTCTGACATCTTTTGGCTCTGAGGAAGTGTCCCATCACAAGAGAACTTCCACTCTGTTGGCAGGAGAAACTCACCTTCCACTAAGGGACTTGAAACCAGGAAGCCAGCCAGAAAGACACTAAGATAAGCAACAGACTTCATTTCCTTTATTCACCTGTGAATATAGGCATAGAGATGGCAGCAGCAGAGCAAAGACAGGGTCAGCATCAAGGATTAGCATGGTAGGGCATTTGGAGTATAGGGCCTTAAACCGAGTCAGTATCTGGCTCAGTATGGGGAGGATATTAGCCATGCTTGCTGGGGCTGATGGAAGCTGTAGTCCAACAAGATCTGGAGGGCCACAGCATTTTCATTTGTAGTCTGAACTGGCTGACAGTAACTCTCCAGGGTTTCGGGCAGGTGATATTCCCAGATCTACCCAGAGACACTGGGGACTGAACCAAACTGACAACGCACCTTGAACTTGTTGCATTCAGGAGGTAGACCCACTGAAGGAAAGGGGACCATGGAAGGTGTCTTGCCCAAGGGCCCTGGGGCTGACACTGGCAGAAAAACCATGAAGCTGAATACCAGGGAGATGCTGATACCATGAGTATCCATAATCAAATTCAAACCTGCAGTGGGTATCTAATAACCTGGGGTTACTGGGTTCAGTTTCTAGGGTTCTAAGCTGTGAACCAGGCAAAAAGATACTGTTCTGTTAACCAAGGGGGAGAGACTTGGTCACTTAGCTGCTCACCTGAGTCTGCTGCTGAGGTTTCTTCCTTGGAAGATATGCTGGGGCTGTCTGCTAAGTCTGTAGGTGCTTGGATGGTCTCCTGGCCATGCATGGCTTTAATATAGAGCTCAGGTGAACATGATGAAATATTAAAAGATAACAGCTTTAAGGAAATGTCTTGATACGCTATTGGCAACATTGCATAACAGGGGGCCCAGCCAGCAGAAAGGTGATTTTTATCACAATCCCATTCACAAATTATGAGTGATGGGCCAAAATATGCCCTCTATTTGACTGTTCTTCCCCTAGGAATGGGGCTTCCCTTTTTCTGCCTCATTTCTGCTGTAGAATTTCAGTGAGAATGGATTTGGCATGCCTTATTGTGTTAGAAGGCTGGGGATGTGGGGGGGGCAGGGGTGTTTCTTCCTGATGAACTTTTCACCAGCAGTCTGCAGCCTCCCTAGGTGCCCATCAGGGACACAATCTGTGCTGTGCAGGGGGCCGCTAGGGGCGCCTTGGAAGATGGCCGACAATAACATCTATCCGGCTCACACGAGGTAATTAGAGGCTGATTATGGGTTGACCTTTTCACTAGAAAGGGGAAGAATTGATATTGCATGGAATGCAAATTTGTGGACTTCTGCTTTCAAATAATGCTGCCCAGCAGCACTGTAAATGAACTGGGAAATGACAATGGGAACTAGTGCTGACTCGATCACTTGCTGCTTCTGGGTGTCATGTGGGGCCATAGAACAGATTCTGACTTTAACCAAATCCTGCAAGCAATTATTCCTAGTACTCTCAATAGACTACAATTCCCACAATGATTTGGCAGATATTATGATTGTGAGGGTGATATGAAATGGATATCCATTTGTGCTGCAGACATGCTCGTCCTCTCAGCCCAAATTGTCCCCCAATATTGTTGTGAAGATAAATGAACTCCATGTGCAAATTGAACAGATTCCTGAAAAAAGAGAAGGATGCAAATTTATCTCTCCCTTCAAATTCTGCCACATGATTCTCATATATATATATATATATATATATATATATATATATATATATTTAATTAAATTTTCTGTTTTACATTTTAAAATATTCATTTAAACAACCTTAAAATAACAGTGACTTCCCTTCTTCTCTTTCCATGGTTCATTTTGCAAAACATAAATTCCTGCATATTATATAAGAACTAAACCATTCAGTATTCCATTATTACTTCCATCAAAACTTATTTATACTGTTGAATTTATCTTAATGCTTCCAGCGTTTTCAAGTGTACACAATTTTTCCCCATTTTCCAATCTTCTTTAAATGAATGTTCTTCTTGTTCTCTTATTCTATAAATTAAATCTGCAAGCTGCGCATATTCCATCAGCTTAAGTTGTCATTCTTCTTTGATTGGGACCTTGCTCATTTTCCATTTTGGGGCTAACAAAACATGGGCCATTGTAGTGGCATACATAAATAACCTTTTAAATAAATAACCTGCCACATGATTCTCCACCCCTCTACTTCCTCAATAATCAGTCAGCGTTTCTTGACCACTGAGCATACTCTGTCTTCAATGGGATGTTTTGGGGGATTTCCCTTCCTTAAGGATTTTTTCCTTTTAAAATAATGTCAGTCCTGGGGTTTCCCTGAGCCAGCTGATACTTCCCTCTTGTGCATAGATGGTGCCATAATGATCAGCACTCACACAACTGAGGTTGCTATTAGTACTGGGAGTGGCATGCCCCAAACTAACCCAGTGACAACTGGATCTGGGTTTTCATTGGGTCACTTTCTCAGTCTGGGGTTGCGCTCTTGTAAAAAGGTAAAGGACCCCTGATAGTTAAGTCCAGTCATGAACGACTCTGGGGTTAAGGCGCTCATCTCACTTTACTGGCCGAGGGAGCCGGCATTTGTCTGCAGACAGCTTTCCGGGTCATGTGGCCAGCATTAATAAGCCACTTCTGGTGAAACCAGAGCAGTGCATGGAAAAGCCTTTACCTTCCCGCCACAGCAGTACCTATTTATCTACTTGCACTTGACGTGCTTTCGAACTGTTAGGTTGGCAGGAGCAGGGACCAAGCAACGGGAGCTCACCTCGTCGTGGGGATTTGAATCGCTGACCTTCCGATCGGAAAGCCCTAGGTTCAGTGGTTTACACCACAGTGCCACCCACGTCCCTCACTCTTGTACTTGGTGACTATTTGCTAACAGGGGCAAAGGGTGTGTGGCCAAATGGGCAAATGTCATGGCTACACTCGCGTGCACACTCACACTCACACTCACACACACTCAACAAAAGCCCGTGGTAAAATACAAATCTTATTTGTTTTAGTTCAATTATTTCACCTGTAGCCTGAATCAAGATCATGGGTATTCATTCCACTGGAGGTGTTAATTGGCTTACCAATGTCAGGATGTTTGTGTTATCATCAACACTGCTTTGTACTTATTTTACACACACATATACATAATTTAATGTAATTGTCACAGTTGGTGTTTTTGCTACTGTCTGAACACACAGCCTTGAAGGTAAGAACAGAACCGTCATAATACAGTACACAAATAAAAGCAAAAGTAAGTGGGTTTTTGCCAACCAGGCCAAAGGCGCTCAGGTTAAGCTGTTGGAGGACTAAAATATGCAAATATTGTTCTTGACATGAAATACCCTCCCCCCCCCCTCCGTTAGATCTCGCTTTCAAGGAAATCCTCAGGGCTTGGGGGACTCCACAGAAGCCTCCTAAAAGAGCAAAGTTTCATAAATCGTCCCTCAGGGCTTGTTATTGTTAGTCAGTGGCACTTTTAGCCAATTAGATCCAGAGACCACAAACAATGGGGCAAACCAGGAGTCAGGGACTGAGAAATCAGTCAGAACTGAAGGCAAATAAGGAGGCAAGATTGAGGAGCATGAACAAGAAGGCCTCTTGCAGTAGTTTATGTCCAAGAGGACCCAGTGGCCAACTTGGATCTATGGGTGAGCACGTCAAACTCACAGGAGCCTTTTATTAAACACATACACACATATTCTACATTGCACCAGCAATTCTCTCAAGACTCACCATCTGTAACTTCATTACAGGGCCAATCCTACCATTAGGCACAGCAAGGCAGCTGCCTTAGGCAGTGAATACCGAGAGGTGTGGGTTGCAGCAAGATACTGCAGGACAGAACCATGCGCACAACCTACTTTTGACAAGGGAAGAGACCCTCAGACCTGGGGTTCAGTGCAGCCCTTCAATCCTCTCTCCCTGGCTCTAGGGGCTATCCCTAGGCGGCATCCTTTCTCTGGTCACAACCTCTCTTCCCAGGCCACACCCCCCCACAAGCCCCCATGTGTGTTTTTGTCTGGGTGGAATATCTCCTTGAACACTAATACAGTGGTACCTCAGGTTACAGACGCTTCAGGTTACAGGTGTTTCAGGTTACAGACTCTGCTAACCCAGAAATAGTACCTCAGGTTAAGAACTTTGCTTCAGGATGAGAACAGAAATCGTGCGGCGGCAGTGGGAGGCCCCATTAACTAAAGTGGTGCTTCAGGTTAAGAACAGTTTCAGGTTAAGAACAGACCTCTGGAATGAATTCAGTTCTTAACCCGAGGTACCACTGTAATGCTTCCTGAAATCCAGTAATAGCAAGGGGTGTGTGGAGAAGCTAGCCTACTGCACAAAGATAAAATGTACATGTTCTGCTCTGCTCACTTTACTTCCAGAACCCTCCACCACTACAGGCATTTGACACTCCACCCCCAAGTTATTTATGACCAATAAACTGGAAAAGGTTTCCCAACCCTATCCTATGTAGAGATGTGAAGGCTCTAGGTGGGGGCATAATCGTTTTCCCTATTGTTATTTTTTCCAAATTCTCCCCCACCCCCAATGAAAAAAATGAATGGGGATGGGGTTGTAGAATATATTATTTTAGAATGATGTATAAAATGTTTAAAACAAGGTGTGCATGTATTTACTCCCCACGAATGCTTTCGAAAAACTATGTAATAGGAAGACTTTTATGTAAGACAGTGCACAGCATCAGATACAATGAGGAGAAGCAAGTGCTGCGTGGTAATTTGAGACTACAACTCTGAAATGGAAGAGCAAGGTGCATTTGTGCCTCTAGGGGGCACTGCCGTTGTCAACAAGAAGATTTCGATGCCTTCCTTCGCTTGTGAAAGGGTAGAAATGCTTATTTAAATCCAGCCAAGCCTTGCATTTTTAGAAATCTGTGGTAACTATGAAAGCAAATGTGAAGAAGCAAAAGGAGATATTGAAACTGACAGTGATAGCTCAAAAAGTGATATGGATGCATATGACCAATATAGCTCCCATCAGCCATCTCGCCTTAGTTTGGCTTAGCTAGCATGGTGTAGTGCAGCAGATCTGGCTTATAATTGCTTGTTTCCTGTAATTAATTCCAGTTCTGCTACTCGCAGGCATGAGCAAAGAGATGAAGGACACTGACACATCCACTCTGTCCCAGATCACTAGAACCCTTAGACCAGGTGGGGCTATACTTTGCCCTCCAGGTGTGGCTGGGAGTTGGGAGTTCAGCAACATGGAGGACCATCAGTTAGTAATAATAATAATAATAATAATAATAATAATAATAATAATAATTTGTTATTTGTACCCCTCCCATCTGGCTGGGTTTCCCCAGCCACTCTGGGTGGCTTCCACAGAGACCAAAAATACACTAATATATCATACATTAAAAACTTCCCTGAACAGGGCTGCCTTAAGATGTCTTCTGAATGTCAGATAGTTTATCTCTTTGATATCTGATGAGAGGGCGTTCCACAGGGCGGGTGCCACTACCGAGAAGGCCCTCTGCCTGGTTCCCTGTAGCTTTGCTTCTCGCAATGAGGGAACCACCAGAAGGCCCTCGGCGCTGGACCTCAGCGTTCAGGCAGAACAGTGGGGGTGGAGACGCTCCTTCAGGTATACTGGGCCGAGGCTGTTTAGGGCTTTAAAGGTCAACACCAAAACTTTGAATTGTGCTCGGAAACGTACTGGGAGCTAATGTAGGTCTTTCAAGACCAGTATTATGTGGTCTCGGCGGCCGCTCCCAGTCACCAGTCTAGCTGCCGCATTCTGGATTAGTTGTTAGCTGTCCCTTCCACTAGTACATCAAGGAGAATTGATCCACCCCAAGACACTCACTGTGTGCTGGCCTTCTACCTGCAAGAATAGTGCAGGAGACCCTGCAGAAATATTGTCTTTCCTACTGGATTAGATAGACCACTGGTCTGACTCAGTCAGCTCCCATATGATTCCTCCCAGAGCACTCCGAAATGGAGCACTCCATTATAACCACTGCCCAGTTCTACCACCTCATTCTGTTGCCTGTGCAGACCAAGCCTTTATTTTGGGACAATGCCGTGCACAAGAAGCTGGTGTAAAGCAAACCATTGTGACTGAAGCCGGCATAAAGTTACACCAGATAGAGATGCTGTTCGGCAGTGGGTCTGCTGCTGCTCTGCCCAAGCCTGGCAGAGGGAAAACAAGCCTTTAAAAATAATCATAGAACTGTAGAGTTGGAAAGGGACCATGAGGGTCATCTAGTCCAACCCCCTGCAATGGAGGGTTCTTTTGCTCGAATCCATGACCCTGAGATTAAGAGTCTCATGCTCTTCCGACTGACCTTTCCCAGCAGTTTCATAATGTTTTATGCTGTCAGGTCACATGACCAAGGTGAACGGGCTTAGAATCCATCCTAAGTCTCCACTCTCTGGTCCCACCCAGCCACTAAGCTGGCTGAGCCCAGAATCAGGAAGGGTGAGCAAGTTACACTGGCATATCTTTGGCTGGTTAGGGGTTGGGTACTTAGTGCTCACTGAGCCCATCACTCAGTTGAGCTGGAAACCTGTTGCAACCTAAGCTGCTCATCCTAGCAGATCTTGCCCTAGGATTGACCCCTTCTCCATTCTTTTCCTCACAAACTTTCAGTTCTGTCTGCACAACTTTATGAAGCACTTTGCAGCCTAATAAGAACTCTAGACAAAGGGTCAGCAAACTTTTTCAGCAGGGAGCCAGACCACTCTCCCTCAGACCTTGTGGGGGGCCAGACTATATTTTGGAAAAAAAAATGAACGAATTCCTATGCTTCACAAATAACCCAGAGATGCTTTTTAAATAAAAGGACACATTCTACTCATGTAAAAACATGCTGATTCCCAGAGCGTCCGTGGGCCAGATTTAGAAGGCGATTGGGCCACATCCAGCCCCCGGGCTTAGTTTGCCTGCCCATGCTCTTAGACTATCAGTATTTGTGGGAGAGATTCAAGCACATACTAGAACTTTAGGTTTGCATGATGAAAATGGAATGTGCCACTCTGTCACCTTTGCATAACAAATCCACTTTTTAAAAAACTGACTATCTGCAGAAATATTTTTTGAAAGTGAAAGTGACAGGGAAATGTACTGAAAGGTGTTGGACGGATGAATTACTAAAGGGCAGACATGTGAGCAAATGATGATGAATGTTCATTGTCATATAGCTGCCCTGTAAACAAATCAGACTGAATGCTCAAGAAAGGCCAGACATAATCTAACCACCGCAGAAACTTTCTGCAAACAAATCAGGATGAGTGTGGAATAAAGAGGCCATATGGAGGATCCCTATGTACTAGACACTTGATTTAAAACAAAGAACAAAGGGGAACTGGGATTCCCCAAAGCAGAAATCTAGACCCAAGGTGTTGGAATTTGTCGCCAGCTGAGAGGGAAGAAAATATTAAAAGAAATCACTCACCAGAAAATTCATACACTTAAAGAAGATTTTATTAGCATTTGTTTGTGCTGTAGCCACTGAAGGGTGTGTAGGCAAAACATATGGATAACTAAGGTTTAACTTCAGAGGGCATATCTGCATTATGGACTTAAACAGGTTTTATACCACCTTCACTGTCACGGCTCTCCCCCAAAGAATATTGGGAACTCTAGTTTTATGTTGTTTTATGCTTAATAGGATGCTTTCTATTAAGGATTCCTTTCACAGAACTGTGGTTCCCAGGGTTCCCCAGGAGAGAGAGAATGACTTAAACCAATTAAAGTTTCTAATGCAGATAAATGCCCAGAGACTGTTTTGAAAGGGAACAGTATCATTTGGGTTTAGGTTCTCCCAGAAGACCTCCTTTGCAAAGGCAAGTCTTCAAGATGTACGGGAATTGCAGAAGGTCCTTCGGGAGTCCCATTCATATGAGTTCCTTCCATCTTGAAGTGACGGTTGAGCCAATGCCCTCTCTACAGTTCATGCTTGCAGATGTAGGCATTCTGTTTGTGGCATGCTGCATCATTCCATTTTGAGAAATCTAGAGGGAGAACCAGTCACCTGTTATGGGATGCTACAATAGTCAACAGCTTTGGGTCCCAATACTTTTGGGATGTCAGAGGCTGTATGCCAGTTGTTGGGAAACACAAGTGGGGAGAGTGCTGTTGTACTTGGGTCCTACATATGGGCTTCCCATAGGCATTTGTTTGGCCACTTTGAGAGCAGGATGTTGGACTATGATGGTCCTTAGGCCTGATCCAGCAGGGCTCTTCTTATGACCCAACTAAGGATCAAGGCAGGAATATTCAAAAACAGACAAGAGGTCCATGCTACACAATAGGTAGCATTACCTCCTACTCTGAAGTATAAAATTATTCTGCTACCCAAATCCAGTCAGTGGGGTTTTTCCACCTGGGAATCATACTTTTTCTCTACATAGAGGTGAGGTGGTACTAAAGGGAGCAAGGATGGGGGTCCTATCCTGCCTTGACCACAAGTGAGGGCTCACTGGTTAGGAGGAGACATGAGAGCAGCCTATTCAGTTAGTGGCAAGTAGGGTCAGGCTGAAGTTTCAGGACCTTGGATAGCTCCAAGCATACAGCTCCTCAAGTGGGGATTCACAGCCTATGGAAGACACTCCAGAGTGGCCTAATTGGCTGGGTAATATGTAGAATCAAGGTGGCATTTCAGAACCTTGGATAGCTCCAAGAAGACAACTTGCTCCAATGGCATCAGGAATTCAGCTGAGGCTTTTTATCTCTCTTGGGCCTGCGGTAGTTACACCTCTCAGGCTGACCCCTGTATAACAATGTAGGAGATACTGAGATGCTTTTGAACAGGACAGCCTCCCTCCTGGATAGCAGCTCCCCAAAACTTTTCACCTGAACGTTTAATGATGACTCTTTCTTCCCGTTGTTGAGGTGAGTCAGCATCAGGAACAGCTGCCCCACTCACGGAACGTAGCAGCTCCACGCAATATTTATTTCCGCCCCGTTTGTTGGGTGCCCCCAGCACCCATGCTTTATAGTTGTAGGTAGACTCATCTGACCACCTCCACTTGCCGTTCTGGAAGGCGAAGAGAGAAAGGAACATGGAGATAAGTGTGGAGGTGAAGCAAAAGCCTCAGTTCAGGATCTGGTGCAAGGCCAGTCCACCCAATGGGCAAAGTGAGGTGGCCACCTCAAGCAGCAGATTGTGGATGTTGTGAAGGACATAAAACTGGGAAAGGGCCATAATCCAATAGTAGAGCACCTGATTTGCATTCCAGGATCAATCCCCATCATCTCTAGGTAGGGCTGGGAATGCACCTTGCCTGAAACCATGGAGAGCTGCTGCCAGTCCGTGTAGATATTATTGAGCTAGATAGCCCAATGTTCTGACTCAGTATAAGGCAGTTTCCTATGTTCCAAGTTGTTATTTAATTTATAATTACTCTATTGCTACCCCAAGGGGGAAACACATTTGGATTTTGAAACTCAGGTACCAAAAATAACTTGGCCAGCCCTGATTAATATCTACCTTGACTTGGGTAGCAAAATGTCTTCCCCGAACCTAGATCTACTGGTTCCCTATTGTCTCTGGAATAAATTCCAACCTAGAAGGGTCACACCCACCATCTATCACACAGTGGTCCAAGAACTTCACCCCCTTTGATACACTTGAACATGTTTTCTATGAATGTCAGTCTTGTGTGGATGCCTGTTTGGGCACCTGGATGGCTTATACTGACACATATGTTTAATTTAATGCTGGTTTGCCAGGCACAATCTTTACCTAATTTTAGGTGCCAGGCAAAAGCTTTCCTTTCTATCCAGGCTTTTGGCCTTTAATTGGAAGGGTTTTTAAGTATTTGTGGCCTCTTTTAATGGGACAGGATCTGCACGACCTGTTAATTATGTAAATGGTTTTTGTAAGGTTTTTATTGATTGCATTTATTGCAATTGCTTTTAGTATTTATGTTGTATCTCTTTGAGTCATTTCCATGTGTAAAGCAACACATGATGACATTATTATTATTATTATTATTATTATTATTATTATCAGTATTCTGATGGAATTTGCAGGAGTGTCTCTCATTCACTTTTCCCCCTTTGTTTGCTTTTCTTTCTTTCTTATTTGCTAATTTGCTTTGTAAGAAAGTAATTTAAAAAATAAAAAAAGAATGGATTTTGAGACTCACATGAGCCCAAATCTGTATCACATAATAGACTGCTCAGTGATTCCCGAAATGTGCCCTGCTGTATACAAGGGTGTCTGTTTTCTCTTGGGAACATTGTCTGAGGAGAAGCACAGAGGGGTCTAGATACGTACATGTCGGATATCATGCAGTCCAATCCACACATTGCTGGGTTCCGTCTGGTAAGCGAAGATGTGATCAGCCACCACGAGAGATTCTGCAACAGTGAGGATAGAGGCAAGGTGTGCCCCACGGTGGTAACTCTGGCATTCGATCTGGGCAAAGGGGAAAGGTAGGAAAGGCTTTTAATGCCACTGTTCTCCTCTGGTGTCATAAGAAGGAGGATGGTGCTTAGTGCCTCCTCCTAGACTGGTTATAAGTAAGGAGCTGAGTAAGCAAGTGGGGCTGGTTGTGGGCAGACTGAGCTTGGTGGAGCAATGCCCCATTTCTCCAAATGGAACAGCCTTCAGGTCAGCAAACCTGACAGGATGGAAAGAAGGAGAGTTAGAAAGTGGGGAAGCATCAAACTTATTGGAACATCTTACCTAAGAATGGCCTCGGTGACAAATACCTAACCCAAAGCTTCATACCCCTCTGTTTCTTACCTCAGCTTCTTCCCAGGTCATCTTAGCTTCAAAGTAGCCATAGCAGTTGCCCTGGTATTGCAGCCACTCCCTGGCACAAGTGTCAGCCTTAACTGCTCAGCAGAGGGAGAGATAAACCGAAAGGAAGGGGAGTGAGACTGGGATTATTATTATTATTATTATTATTATTATTATTATTATTACATTCTTTTTCTTCAATAAGTATGCATGGTTCCTTCCCTCCCCCACTTCATCCTCACAAGAACCCCATGAGGTAGGTTAGGCTGAGAAATAGTGCCAGGCCCAAGATCACCATGAAGTGTAGGTGGGTTCCCATGAGGCAAGACACAGTGATAACCGCAAGAACCTTAATTGAACTAACAGAACTGGACAACAGGGGCAAAGCAACTGCTTATATACATTTCTGAAGGCCTGGGCCACTCCCACTCCCAACATGATTGGCTGTCCAAACTTCCAAGCTGCGAATCATAACTCAGAGTTTAAGAGCCAATGGCAGAGGCACAAATCCTGAAATGTTCTGTGACTGGATATCAGGTATCGAATCAGAACACAGGGGCTCAGAATCCTTAGTCCAGGCTCAAGCTCAGGCAAACACAGACCACTGAATACATAACGCACCCAGTGAGCTTCTTGGCTAAGTGGGGATTTGAAGACTGATCTCCTGGTTCCTGTTCCAACACTCAAACCCAGGGTTTGGGAGCTGAATCTGGCCAGTGGGCTGGTCCTGACCTTTCCTAATCCCCATTGGGCCATTTTGGCAGGTGGGTGAGACCATCAACCTGTCCATCACCTTACAGCACCATGACATCAGATGAAGCCCACACAGTCTGATGTCAAACTAAGGCACAGGGTTCTACAGCCACTAGCAATCAGCTGACTTCTAGCACTTGGAAATCCCATGAATTTGTCCAGCCCCCTTTTGGAGCTGTCTAGGCTTGTGGCCTTCTCTGCCTGTTGTGGGAGAGAGTTCCATAGTTTAACTATGCCCTCTCCTGAATCTTCCAACATTCAGCTGTGGTGGATATCATTTCATGCTATGCCTTCTACATTGTAAACCAGGAAAAGGTTGATGTTTTTTAAAACTGATCTGTAAGCTGCTAGGGGAATTGGGGCTTTGGGGCTAAGGACCAGGGTAAAAATGCTTTTATATAGATGAAATGTGCTTTAACTCGGGAAAATTCTGCAGCTAAAGTACTGACACTATGCCTGCTCCATTAGCGCTGAAGAATGCAGGAGAGACTTACCTCCCACAAGGGAGCTTGAAACCAGGAAACTGGCCAGGAAGACACTTAGATAAGTGAGAGACCCCATTTTTTCTTGGTTCACCTGAAATTACATAAGGAAAGAGGACCAGAAGAACATAAGAATCCCCAGGCTAGAGCATCCTTGGGCAAATTCAGATCTGCAGCATGTACTTTCCAACTGTGGATCCCATTGGTTATTTGCTGGGGCTAGACCCACCAGAACAGGTCTTCAATATTTAGACCAACAGTCTCATGTTCACTGCAGATGGCAGATGGCAATGTTGCACATCTCTGCTGCTTACTGTGCCTGAGACCAGACAGTCCCAGGCAAATTCAGTAAGCTATCATAGGAACCTCAGAAGTTGCGTTATACTGAGTCAGACCATTGGTCCACCGAGCTCAGTGTTGTACTTGCTGACTAGAAACAAATCTCCAGGATTTCAAACAGGTTCCTTTCCCATGCCTACCTGCAGCATCCAAGAATTGAACCCAGTACCTTCTGCATGCAAAGCAGATGCTCCACTGGTGAAGCCCCAGAGCCTCCTTAGGGGAAGCATCATAGCTCTGTTGCAGAGTATCTCTTTGCATGCAAAAAGACCAAGGTTGAATTTCCAGGAAAGGCTGGAAGAGAACCCTGCCTGAAACCTGGAGAGCTGCTGCCAAGTCAGTGTAGAGAATACTGAGCTAGATGGTCCAGTCATGTGACTCAGTACAAGGTTTCTTCCTGCATTCCTAGTTGCTCCTATAATATGGAATCAAACCAATCATTCGTCCAACCCAACACAGCAGGCAGGCCCAATTTATGCCCATTTTACAGATGGCCAACAGACAGTGACGTGTCTATGGTTGAAACCACAGTGGCTTGGTCTGGATTTCAGAGTTCCGTCATTTGGATCCTCCTGTATCTTAACCAAAGTGTATTATTCTTTCTAGAAGTGGCATCTGCAACAAGACCCAGATCCTGCAATCCTCATCTGAAGCCCTTCTTTGTGTGCCTCCTCCACAAGAGGTCTGGAGGTTGACGACACAAGAAGCATAGCATCGTAAAACAGCATTGATGACTCAGAAAAATCAGGGAAGCTCAACTGCTCACCTGGACCCTTTGACTGATTCTCTTCTGAAGGTAGATGTGTATAGCTACCTGCTGAGTCTTCCTCAAGTCTTCCTGCTCCACAGAAAGATGTTATATAGGACTCGTCTTGACATGATGAAAGACCACAGGCAGCAGGTTAAGGAAATGACTTGATGTGCTACTGTTACACAAGAGATGGCCAGGCCAGGAGATTTTTATCTGAGGCCAAAACGTGTGGACCTCTGCCACAAATGACTCACTGGGGTTGTATGGAACATTGGGCCAGTGGCTCATCCAGTCTAGTAGCATCCTGTTCTCACAGCAGCCAATCAGATGCCTATAGGAAGTCTGCAAACAGGACTTTGTGCTCAAGCACACTATCCCTTCCTGAAGTTTCCAGCAGCTGGCATTCAGAGGCATATTACCTCCAGTGGTATGGAGGCAGAACATAGTCATCAGGGCTGGTTGCCACCGATAGCCGTATCCTCTATGAATTTGCCCAATGGTCTTTGTAAGCTATCCAAATTGGTGGCCATCACTACAAATTCTGTAGTTTAACTGTGTGCCTTGTGAAGAAATTTGTCTGCCATGAATCTTCCAACATTCAGCTTTGTTGGATGTCTATGGGTTCTAGTGTCCAAATAATAAATATCATTCATTCATTCATTCATTCATTCATTCATTCATTTATACCCTGCCTTTTCCCTGACAGGGACTCAAGGTGGCTTGCAGATAAAATAAGGACAGCTGGAATAATTATAATAATTAATAAAATGGACTTACTTAGCAAAGTTTTTTTCCACTGAAAAGAGGAAATCTTAGTCAACAGCTCAGATTCTTCTGGAGTCAAACTTCCACCCTGCTCTTACCCAAGGGACCACATAATGTCATACCTGGGGCTCAATTTAATCACAGCAACCTTTGACGAAAGGTTGGGGTGGAAAAAGGTCATATTACATGCACCACAAACTGTTGTCAGTTTTAGAGCACCATGGATCCTCCCCCAAAGAACCCTGGGAGCCCTCTGAAGCATGCTCAGCCCTGCCATGCACCAGATCAAAATGATCTGTTTCAGGTGGCACCATGGAAGCATGGGGGCAGGAAGTTCAGTGGGGCAGCTGGAAAATATAAGATTTGGGAACTAGTGGTGTACAGGTAGGGATGGGCGAAACTCCATTTTGAGATCTCTCAGTTCTTCATTTTTTTCTGCTCTTAAGTTTAGTTTCCCACATTTCCACATCAGTTTGTAGGAGGGGTGAGGTTGGTTGTTTTGGGTTTATAAAAATTCATTGTGTGGCGAGTTCCTGCCCCCCCCCAACAGTGGAAATAATGACACAATTATTAAGGTTAAAGGGCTAAATAAGACCAAAACTTTTATTGGTTACACGTGAAAAGCTGTATTGGCTTAGGCATTGGTCCTAACTGACTATATCTGACTTCAGCCCGTCCACTTGAAGTCCGGGAAGGGTTAACCACCAGTAGGGGGAGTCCTGCTGATGCACATCAACTAGGAACTCCCCCAGGGTCACCGCTAGGTGCCTTAGGCCCTCAGCTCCCCAGGCTTCGGACAGAGACACACACCCCAGAATCCTTTAGTGGACAACCCTTCAATATGCGGGGCAGGTGATGGCGCTACCTCCCCTCTTCCAATTACAGAACTATACCAATGCCTAACCGCCAATACAGTGGTACCTCAGGTTAAGTACTTAATTCGTTCCGGAGGTCCATACTTAACCTGAAACAGTTCTTAACCTGAAACACCACTTTAGCCTTTGGGGCCTCCTGCTGCCACTGCGCCACCAGAGCATGATTTCTGTTCTCATCCTGAAGCAAAGTTCTTAACCTGAAGCACTATTTCTGGGTTAGCGGAGTCTGTAACCTGAAGCGTAGGTAACCTGAAGCATATGTAACCTGAGGTACCACTGTACCACGAAAGTTGTGATGATTTGCTATGAGGTAGGCGAAAACCAAGTGGATGGTGCCAATTTGCCAAGTGGAAAAATTCCTACCAGGCCCCTCAATGGCGACCAACCAAGATCCATAGCAAGGTGCAGGAACAAAAACCTTGTAGGGCGGGAGAGTGGGAAAAGTAGGAACAGCTGATGAGCGTCAAAGAGGGAGATCCCCGGCTGTGTCCTGCCTTAAATAGGGCAGGCCACACACCCTGAGACAGCCGATTGACTGGCCAAGGGGCAATGCGGCTGGTAATCCCCCCAATCACGTGAGGGCTGGGCTCCAGCCGTCGCCCGCATGGTGGGGCCATGACGCCCACAACCCCACCTCCTCCGTAGTGCGGAAGTGGCTTTAGCATTTCTCTGCAAAGTCCTCTCAATATACAAATGTGCCCACTGGCCCCAAAAGGGTTAGCCACATCTGCTTTGTAGTCATCCCTTTTCCTCAGGGGACACAGATAGGTGTATAGAGACTGGCATGCCCAACAGACTACCCCTGTGATCTTCAAAACCTAAAAGGTGCTGGCACTCATTTCCCATAGGCCATTATGCCATATTGCGGTCTACCCTCTTGTTCTCAGGGGATATCTGATGGCAAGGATGAGTGCATAAGACTGAATCAACAACATGGTGGCCAGACATGATTTTACTTTTTTAAAAAATGAATACAAGGACATATGCTGAGACACAGGTTTTTATTTGCAGCTGATATTATTGCTCCTGCCTGTCATTAGCCAAATTACCATTCTCACCCTATAGTGCACTGATCGAAGCAAAAGTGAGATTTAGCAAGAAAGACTTAAGGAAGAAAGGCTTATGGCTGAACTGTCAAAAATCTGAAATATCCTTGCATACATAGACCTTTCAGCTGTCCTTTTCAGGCCATAAGGAAATCTATAGGCCTCAGGGTTCTCCACTGACGCCTCCTACAGTGGAGAGGTTTCAGAAACCATCACTCGGGTTGATCTTGTCTTTGCCATTGTTTCTCAACATGGGGTAGCTGCGTACGAGTGTGTCTGTAGCCTCTGGTCACGCCATATTGCGACTGTCACCATGCATCCGCAGCCGCTGGCCAGCCTGGGGAAAGAGTGGATGCATAATGAAAGCTGCCTCACTGAATGGACTTTGCTGAACTGATGTCTCACAGGTTTGATTGGTTTTTTATTTGAACTGGGCTCTATGTCACAAGTGTTCTTTGAAGGCACCCTCAGGCTAATTCGTGTGAAGGTTTGTGTCTATGGTAGCAGAGTTGTTGCAGGTGTGGACTTTCCAGTTGTCTTCTCACAAGCTGAACCCATTGTGTACATGCTAACTGCCATGCATGGAATTCAGTCTGTTTGGGTTTGTAACACATCTTCACAACTGTGAGATTTGTCTGTAGCTGACATCCATATGCACCTGCCCAAGCATATAGATAGATGATAGATAGATAGATAGATAGATGATAGATAGATGGATAGCTAGATAGCTAGATAGCTAGATAGCTAGATAGCTAGATAGATAGATAGATAGATAGATAGATAGATGATAGATAGATAGATAGATAGATGATAGATGATAGATAGATGATAGAGATAGATAGATAGATAGATAGATAGATAGATAGATGATAGATAGATAATAGATAGATAGATAATGATAGGTAATGATAGATGATGATAGAGATGATAGATAGATGATAGATAGACAGATAGATAGATAGATAGATAGATAGATAGATAGATATAGAGATATAGATATAGATAGATATAGATAGATGATAGATAGATAGATAGATAGATAGATAGATAGATAGATGATAGATAGACTTCCCTTCTTCTCTTTCCATGGTTCATTTTGCACATCATAAATCCCTGTATATTTTACATAAACTAAACCATTCAGTATTCCATTATTACATCCATCAAAACTTATTTACACTGTTGAATTTATCTTAATGCTTCCAGCATTTTCAAGTGTACACAATTTCCCCCCATATATTCAATAAACATTTTCCAATCTTCTCTAAATGTATGTTCTTCTTGTTCTTTTATTCTATAAATTAAATCTGCAAGCTGCACATATTCCATCAGCTTAAGTTGCCATTCTTCTTTAGTTGGGACCTTGCTCGTTTTCCATTTTGGGGCTAATAAAACACGGGCTGCAGTAGTGTCATACATATATCATCTTTTTTGACACCTGGGACTTTCCATCTGAATTATCCCCAACAAAAAGGACTCTGGTTTTTTGGGGGAAGTACTTTTAAAGATTTTTTTTCAATTCATTATAGATTATTTCCCTATCATCTTTTACGCTTTTACAGGTCCACCACATGTGAAAGAATGTTCCCTCAACCTCAATGCATATCCAGCACTTATCTGATTCAGTCTTATACATCTTAGCAAGCCTACTCGGAGTGCAATACCATCTGTAAATCATTTTCAAGTAGTTATCCTCACCTGCCCAAGCTTTATGGTCACTATCCAAGCCCCTGCGGTCTGGCTGAGGATGACTACTCAGGGGACAGGAATACTAAGCAATAATTTCATAGAAAAGCTGTGTTGGGGAGGATCAGATGCTGAAGCTCTGGGCTAGAAAAAAGTCACTCTCTGGAATTTAATCCCATAGAAGAAAAATGAGCAGGTTTCTTCATATCTGATAATCATTTTCATAAATGTTTTCCCTACTCTCCTAGTTAATAATATCACTTTTTAAAAAGCATCCCCAACACCATATGCCTTTCTACACCTAAATATTTATTTATGATCATATGTAACAAATTGATGGATAACTAGAGGGTATCATGATGCCCTTTTTGCAATGCTCAAGGCTAGTGATACAAGCCGCATTCCACCAATTCAGCCCTGGATTATGCAAGACTGAAGACATCGGACTAGTATTTCCATGGTTGATTAAGAATGTGGTTCCTGTTCCTCTTCATAAGGAAATGGATTCAAAACTCTCTTTCCCCCCCTTCACTATGCTTTTCCCCACCAAAATGAAAGAGAGGGTGATGCATGCTACATTCCACTGATTTGGCCTTAAATTATGCAAAACTGAAGGCATCAGACCAGGATTTCCTTGCAGCATTCTGGTCATCTTGGTATTGCACCACCTCTGCCTGAGGTCTATATAACAGCCGCCCAGACTAGGTGAGACCATCAGAGAGGCACCTGGCTCAGCTGACAACCACATTGGTCCACCCAGAAGAACAGCATCGCAAGGTAAGAGCTTGTGGAAGTGATCTACGAGTTTTGGTGAGGATATTTTTTTTCAAAGGCCTTGAGGGAGATGGATGAAAGGTTCATGAACAAGGACTTGTGGTGAGGGTGGCTGGTGCCCACTAGAATTGATAGGGCCAAAGGCAGGGTGGCCAACAGTTGATGGAGCCATAGCCAATGGCAGGCAGAGCCACTCACTGATTGGTTGTAAATAGGAAAGCAGGAAGATAAGGATTGGCTGAGGGCAGGCTGAGGTTGGTGGGGCAGTTCCTATTTGCCCTAATGCAGTGATGGCCAGACTTGGCCCTGCAGCTGTTTTGGGACTACAACTCCCATCATCCCTAGCTAACAGAACCAGTGGTCAGGGATGATGGGAATTGTAGTCCCAAAAGAGCTGAAGGGCCAAGTTTGGTTATCACTGCCCTAATGGATCAGTCTCCACTGACTGGTGGAAAACAACAATGTATAATTCTGTCACTAAGCAGATAAGGGCTCATACATGCTTCCTTCTATGCTGTTTTTCTAGGCACAGAACTGGGCTTTCCAAGTCTGTGTCTGATCAGGGTTTTGTTTTGTTTAATCCCAGAGCTTTCCCTGGGAAAACTCACATTTTACCATTTAATCAGAGCAAACAGCAATTGGCTTTTCCACAGACTGCCATTTGCTCCAATTCAGAGGTAGAACTTTGGTTTTCCCATGGAAAGCCCTGTGGGGGGGGGGGGAATAAAAATTAAAAAACCCTGTTCAGACACAGTAAGTGCAGATGGGCCCTAAGTTCACAAATCAGACAGAAAAAGAAGATCAGACAGAGAAGAAAATTGGCACAAAAGCTGAAGAGAAAAGCTGCATGGACTCATTTGTGTGCAGATTGAAATTTGATTTCCAGTTAACAGGTAGACTGAATAACCACCAGGGGGTGTATGTAGGGATGGGAGAGAAAATGGATTTAAAGGCAAATATATCAGATCCTCACTTTCCGAAAAAAATATGCAAACTGAAACACAGCTCTCCTTCAAACTTCAAACTTGTCTGAATTTTATGATACAGTTCTCCAACCAAATAGTGGTTCCAAAAAAGAATTATATATGGGGAAATTGCTTGGGAAAATGTGTACATTACTCAAAACTGCATACAAAGCAGTGTTTCTTAACAGAAATTTGCACTAAAATGTAATGAATTTTCATGAGCATCTAAAAGAAAAAGATCACAAAGTGTTCCTAACTGAAGCTGATGAAGCTCACTTTAAATCAATGTCAATATACCCTTTCATAACACTGACAACTATTCGAAATTTCAGTTTCTCCCTTCTTCCCAGTTCTTTCCCAGTTTCTCCCTTCCAAGAACCTTCCTGGTTCTTGGAAGTTCAAATAAAAGAGAAATACAATCCTTCCTTCCTCCTTCCCTCCCTCCTTCCCTCCCTCCCATTGTATGTATGGAAACCAATGAATGTAACTTTGATTTTACCGTGCTGTACATTCATCTCCCTCAAAGGTCAACCAGAAGATGGGACTCTTCACCTACTTCAGTCTTTGCCTTCTTGGAATCCTAATTTCCAGTCCTTTCCAGGAAGGTGAGCAATTTTATAAATGTCTGAGGCTTACCCAGAAATTGTTGTTGGGTTGAGCTGTAATTAAAGTGCATGTTATATTTTCAAAGGACGGTAGGCTATTTAGAACAGAGCAGAAGAGTGTTTTAAATTGGGCCATAATTCATTGATTTTAAAGTTATCTATCCTTTCTCAATGGAGTCTAAGGCCACAGATCCCCCATCCCTGGGGTAGCCAATACTGGTCTGCAATGGATACCAATGGCCTAATTCATTATAAGGCAGATTTCTATGTGCAGTTATTTGTGTCCTCTCCAGCAAACCCAGGAGGTATCCTTCCTTGTCCCAAAATGCCACCTGTGTGTTTCTTTAAATGTTAAGTCTGTTTGTTCATGAGTAGACCTGTTTCTGGCTAGGGATGCCAGCTTCCTGTTTAGAAAGGAAGGCAGGGCTGCCTACTCCTGAGCAGACTTAGCCACACATAAATGCCCTATTTTGCATAATAGGACAGGGCAGAAATGTTTTATAAATAAATAAATAAATAAATAACACATACGGTGTAGATGGAAGTGGGATTTCAGAGAGCACATTAAAGACATGTCTTCTCACTGCTCTGCCTTCCTGGGGCATCTTCCTCCCTCCATCCTTTCTCCATACAGCTGAGGCCGACACCTGCGCCAGGGAGTGGCTGCAAAACCAGGGCAACTGCTATGCGTATTTTGATAATAAATTGAGCTGGCAAGAGGCTGAGGTAAGAAGGGATCCTTGTCAATGTGGGGATGCTACAGTGCAGGGGTAGTGAAACACAGGCCAGAAGACTAAATCTAGCCCATTTGATCGGGCCCTCAAGGATCTCTCTAGTCCACATCTCCTCCCCAGTCACACACCCTCTTACCTGAGGGATTTGCTAGACAGGAATGTGTCCTTGAACTCCAAGGTTGCTTCTTGGATGGGGGATAGAAGGGTGAGTGGAAACTAGCCTTCGGTACAAAGGCATCATTTACATTCATTATTCTGCCCACTTTTGTCTGTGGTCCTGCTCACCATTAGCAAGAGGTTGTCCCAGTGGCGGAGGAAGGGGGGTGGGGGCGTTCCGCCCTGGGTGCCACCTCTGAGGGGGGTGACAAGAAGGCACCCCATGGGGGACTCGCCCCGCCGCGGTCGCATTGCCGCAGCCACGTACAGAGGATCCTCCGCTCACAGTTGCACCCTCCACCACAATGTGTACAGCAGCCGTGAGCAGAGGATCCTGCCGTTGTACGTTCTGCATTTACATGCGCATGCGCCACCGGGCGGTTTGCCCCAACCCCCTGCACTGGGTGCTGGTTCTCCTTCCTTCACCCCTGGGTTTGCCAGAAGGGAATGGGGTCCTCAGGCTGAAAGGGGTTCCCTACCTTATTATGTGTTTCTCATCAGATTTCCATAAGTAAGGTTATCAATGTGAGTTGCCTTGAGGCAGCATCTGGCCAGCCTCTCAGTCTCCACAGTTGTTCATGTTCTGGTGAGATGTCTCCTTGGGCACCTAGAAGGCTAGGTAACAATCAGAAGGGACAGCACCAATCTTGATGGTCGGATATGACCATTGGGGACAAAACTTCCCTGCTTCTTCTCCGTCCTCAGATTGAGTGCCAGAGCTATGGCCGTGGGGCCCACCTCGCCTCTGTCCTCACCAAAGCAGAGACTCTCTTGGTGGCCGAGCACATCTCCACTTACCAGCAAGAAATAAGCAACGTCTGGATTGGGCTCCACGATGTCCGTCAGGTAAGCTGCTCTCATGTGCTTCATTCCTGGCTGTCATCAATACTGAGTAGTGACTGTGCAATTCCAGCCCATCCTTATCCCAATCATCTCCCAGACAGAATGATACATACACCACTTTGTTATTTTCCATGAGAGTCTTTCTCTTCTTCTCTATCATGGCTCACATTAGCTCCCCACAGGCCAGCCTCTCCAAATCATCTCTGTGTTGGGCTCCTCACACTTCCTTTATCTCATGATCTGTTCTGTCTTCTTCCTGCAGACCAAGAAATAGAATAGGGCTCCATTTCTGGTTATCATAACTGAGCAGCGGCTCCTTAGCAATACCATTCCACTCTTACCTCAACCATCTATCAAATTTAATCCCACTTGCTGTTTCTCCGTTATTTTCTATGGGTGTCCTCCTCTACTGTCTGTGTCACAGCTGGTAACAGCTCCCCACTGGGCAACCTTTCCAGTTCATTTTGCATTGGTGTCATTCCAATGGTATCTTCCTCTTTCTGGGCCCTTCATTCCCTTCATCACATGATCTGTTCTGTCTCATTTCTGCAGACCAGGAGATGGAGGTGGGCTGATGAATCCACCTACAACTATAAGGCCTGGATGAAACACCAGCCAGACAACTACCGCAATGCTGAACACTGTGTGGAGCTGAGACTAAGCACAGGTAAGCAAAGCATTTGCACATTTTCCTGATGGAGAGTACCTCCTTTTGTCTTGTCCTCAATCTTCCAACATCCAGCTTCATTGGACGGCCCAGGTATTAAAGGCCTTAACATTTTGAGTCCTCCTTTAATGAAGCTGGATGTTGGAAGATCGAGGACAGACAAAAGGAGAGAACATAGTTCTTCTATGGAATTCACCCCCAAAAAAGGCAGTGATGGCCAGAAGCTTGGGTGACTTTAAAAGATGATTGGGCAAATTTATGGAGGATGAGGCTGTCAATGATGACCACACTCACTGGAGCAAGAAGTAGTAATTTTTTGTTATGTCTTTTTGCGTTTTAGGTTTTAAGGAGTGGAATGACGCTCCATGCAAGAAACTCAATGCCTACATCTGCAAGCATGAACTGTAAAGAAGACTGTGGTTCCCAAACTGTGCCTGTTCGGACGCTGGCTTGGTGGATTTCTCTCTGATCGCATTAACCCCTCTCCCATCCCTCAGAGTGAAAGACCATCTCTCCCATTCATCCCATCTCTGAAGAGCAACCTCTTTGATCTCTCTCTTTGGCATTTTTCTGTGCATGCAGCACATGGTGATCTTAATAAACTCTCTTTTATGCATATATTTTCTAGTGCGTTTTTGTCCTTCTCAGTTGACTTAACCTGCTCTAGGATGGTCGGATAAGAAGTGCATAGGAAGCTGGTTTATACTGAGTTTGACCATTGGTCCATCAAGCTCAGCATTGCTCATACTGAATGATAGCAGCTCTCCAGGGTTATTGAGACAGGGCACATTCCTGGTTCTACATGAAGATGCCAGGGATTGAACCTGGAACCTTCTGCATGCAGAAGAGGTGCTCTGCCACTGAGCTATCGCCCTTTTGCACATGGACTTTCTTTTGCACATTATTATTATTATTATTATTATTATTATTGTTTTAAGCATTTTACATCAAAAACATCAACATGCTTATTATTGTACAGCAAGGTACTCAACCCTCCTGCTGCGCCAACACCTACTCCTGGATTGGACGATTTGGGCTGGATGGGAAGGTGTGTGGTATTATAGAATGACAGTTTTATTTTATTATTATTATTTACTGAATTTATATACCGTCCTACACCCGGAGGTCTCAGGGCGGTTCACAGAACAAAATCAAAATATAAAACCACAAAATATATAATCAAAATAAAAACAACAGCCCAATAACCAGTCCCCCCCCCAAAAAAACCCCACATTTCTGCATTTACATGTTGACCTCCCCATAACCAACCCTTCATATGAGTTACTCTCATTGTTAACAGGGAGTCAGATACCCTTGCCAATCTGTTGCCAAACATGTGGAGATCTTGCTCTAACTCCCCTGCTGAAGAGATTCGAGATTACCCAGAGAAAGACTTGTGGAAACTTAATTGTTTCCATAATGAGGGCCACTCATCTCAAACTCCCTAAGATTTGAGAGATTTGGGAAGGTCTGGTTGTTGGTTGATCCCAATCCTTTCCTAATGATCCCTAATATGAAATGACATATTGAAGAGAAAGGGGACACACACACACACAAGTGCATAACAGATCTCCAGCAAAATTTTCCACTCTGAACTTAGCCGTTCAAGCAGAGATTTTACAAGGCAGTCCAGGCTTGATCTTACAGTGTGACAGTACCACGGCAGTGCCAGCCACAGTAGGCAATTCTGAGCCACATAGACCAATGGTCTGACTTGCTGTAAGGCAGCTTCCTATGTAACACTCTCTGCAAGAGCAGATCAGGAAGCAGCTATCCATTGAGTTATCCCATATGAATATCTGGGAAAGGCTGATCTACGCTAACTAACAAGTCTCCAATCTCTCAGCATTACTTTGATCCTGTGTACCTGAGATGCTACTGACTGAACCTGGGACCTTGGGCATGCAAGGCCGTTTCCAGAATGACTAGCTGTGTGATATTGGGACGGTCAAGCAGGTCTGACTACAGAATTTAACACCGGGGGCAATAGAAATCTTGTGACATCTGACTGAAGGGTCAGTACACTGTCACAACACTCTAGTCTTCCCTGTACTGCAGCAGCTATTATGTGCTCCTGGCAAGAGCTTGATGAGACCACTGCGGTCAAAATGATAGACCTGGTAGTAATGGCAGTGGGAACTAATGTTGCATCATGGAGTGGATGAGATGTTACATGTGTGTGTGTTTGTGACTTCACACCTTTCTGCAGGTATACTTAAAGTTGGTCATATTGTGTATGTGAGATGCAGTGTGAGTTCCTGTATTCAGAGTAAGCAAGCTTGGTCTCACCAACTCTCAGCTATACAGCTGCAAAGAAAACGTTTTAAATGTGTTGTGAAGTGCAATATAAAATGTGACACTAGAAGGCGACAGTGAGCTATGCCAAAGTCAATGCCTTTTTCAAAACTTTTTTTCAAAAAGCATTTTCACAGCGTTTTTAATATGTGTGTAGATCCCACCTGAGATGTAATAAGTTATAACTGCTCTGTTTGGAGAAAATCCGTTCCCCAAGGGGTCTGCTAATTGCTAGTTTGGGGCTTTCCCCTATTGTGTTTCTGTTTTGGGTCAACATCTGCCTTCTTGCAACTTCTAGAGTTGGGAAGTTTCATATTGTGTTCTGTGTTAGAAACAAGACTGAGGGTCACATAACCTGATACCCTTAAAATGAACCAAAGAAAAAACAGGTCAAGTATTCTCTCATTATAAACACCCATGAGAAACGGGTTATTCCCTTTAATGTCCTTGCACTGCCTGGAGCCAAGAGCGTAAGCAACAGAGGTGATCACAACAGCATTTCAGAGACCAGCCCTGAATAGGGCTGAGAGTGAATAGATAGATGTCATCTTTTGAAGGAAGATCTTCTTGGCATAACAAAGGATGAACCGTAGAGGTGGTAACATTGCTGGATCTTCTTCTGACTCCCTTCATTCCAAGGGGATGTGCTTTCATCCATCTAACCCAACCTTCCCTAGAATGACAGTCTCCCTTCTAGAGCTCATGTTTGCAGATGTAGGCTTTATGTTTCTTGCAAACAGCATCAATCCATCTCTTGTACTCTGCAATGGAAAAAGAGAATCCAAGGTCCATTCTTATCCATTCTCCATTTCAAGCATTTTCAAAGTATCTCAAGGTACAGTTGTTGTTCTTTTTATTTGCATATATCTGTGTTTGTTATGGCACCAGGGATGGGCCAGGAATCTGTCAGCTATAGTCCCTGGATATTTGTGGGGTTCCTGCCTAATTCAGGGGGCAATTTCTGAAATTTACAACTTGCCATGAGTCTATTAGTTTTGCTCTAACAAACCCATTTTGAAAGTTCCCTGGCATGTTTTAGAAGATAACAACATGGTATAGTCTGATTAGCTCATGAGCAAATGAGGGTGAGGATTTGCCTGCCTTTTACTCTAAAGCGCCAGGGTGGGTTTCAACCATTAAAGCACAATGTTAGAAACAGTTTAAAACAACTCACAATCACAGAAACAAGTTGGGTCCTAAAAATATACATCTCATGTTTCAAAAGGCAGAGTAAAGAGCTATGTATTTACTTTGTACTGCTTTGTGCTGGATCCAACCATCGGTCTAACCCAAAGCTGTGGCCCTCAGGATGTTGTTCTGCTCCAAATCCCATCAACCTCAGAATGGGCAATGGTCAGGGATGATGGGAGTTGTAGTCCAACACGATCAGGAAGGTTGCAAGTTCCCCACACCTGATCCAAACCAGCATTCTGAGTTGCATCCAATTAAGTTCCACTAGGCGTAGATCTTTAGAACTTAATGGATCCAAGTGCATTTACCTGTCTGAATACCACACATATATGGGGAGGACACCAGAGACTTGAATGTGTGTTTGGGGTTGAGGTGCATGCTTTGCAAGAGACCTCTACAAATATGTGTGTGTGAGAGAGAGCTGAAAAATCATGCACACCCCCCAAAAAAAATCTTAAAATATCATCATAAGATAAAGGAGGGTGAATATTTCATAAAATCATAGAATTTTAGCACTCAATGGAACTTAGGTGTCGTCTACTGTACTTCAATTCTCCTCTTCGGTGCAAAAATCTGCAGCATCCTTGACAGAACTCGAGCCAGCCTTTGCTTAAATACCATCAACCAAAGTGACCCTTCCCACAAGGGAGGCTCTTGCCCCACTGTTTGCCCCCCTCCTTTACAGTGGTACCTCGGGTTACATACACTTCAAGTTACATACGCTCCAGGTTACAGACTCTGCTAATCCAGAAATATTACCTCGGGTTAAGAACTTTGCTTCAGGATGAGAACAGAAATTGTATGGTGGCGGCACAGCAGCAGCAGAAGGCCCCATTAGCTAAAGTGGTGCTTCAGGTTAAGAACAATTTCAGGTTAAGAACAGACCTCCAGAACGAATTAAGTTCTTAACCCGAGGTACCACTGTATTTGAATCAGCCCAATCCTTTCTGTTCTATTTACGTCTCACCCAAGGCTGAGAGAGTCGTCACGGTTGCCGTATACCTCAAGGCTACACAACTACCCATCAGTGGGAGGACTGTAACATGCCCACCTGTGGAAGCCCTCAAAGCCACACAGTACTCAGAATTCCAAAGATTGTTGGGCTCCCCTCTCATCCAGTTCTTGTAGTTGTAGGAGGACTCATCGGACCACCTCCAGTTCCCATTCTGCAATGACATGGGAGATAACAAGAGCCCTGATTGATCGGGAGAAAAGTGACATCACGCTCAGCATTCTGTTTCTGATGGGGGACAGCTTTAAACGCGGAAACACAGGAATCCGCCTTACACTGAGTCAGACCATAAGTCTGTCTGGCTCAGTACTATCTGCTGCAACCTCACTGCGAGAAGTGAGGTTACAGGGAACAAGGCAGAGGGCTTTCTCGGTAGTGATGCCTGCCCTGTGGAACACCCTCCCATCAGATGTCAAGGCAATAAGCAACTATCTGACTTTTAGAAGACATCTAGAGGCAGCCCTGTTTAGGGAAGTTTTTTAAGTCTAATGCTTTATTGTGTTTTTAATATTCGGTTGGGAGCTGCCCAGAGTGGCTGGGGAAACCCAGTCAGATGGGCGGGGTACAAATAAATAAATTATCATCAACATCATCTAACTTCTGATCCATGGATCAGGCCAGTTCTCCTGAGAAATTGCAAATGTTGTGTTCCTTCAGCAGGAAGGAACAGGGTAGCTCAGTTGGTTAGTGTTGTGCTGATAACGCCAAGGTTGCAGGTTCAATCCCTGTATGGGTCAGCTGCATTATTTCCTGCATTGCAAGGAGATGGACTAGATGATCCTCAGGGTCCCTTCCAACTCTTTCATTCTATGGTTCTATGATTGAGGGATCAATAAGCTCAGGAGGCTAAATGCTTACCTGGTGAGTATCATGGAGTCCAATCCAAACGTCAACCCCTGTTTCTTTCTTGTCAACGGAGATATGTTTGGATACCATCAGAGTTTCTGCCCGTGCAAGAATGGATGTGAGGTGGGTCCCACGACCGTAACTCTGACACTCAATCTGGAGAAGGGGCAAATGCACAAGAACTTCATCATTCAACTGGACATTCTCTGCAACCTGTTAATGGATGGTGAGTCTTACCTCAGCTTCATGCCAACTCAACTTGTTGTGGAAAAACCCATAACAGTTGCTCTGGTACTGCAGCCATCCCCTGGGGCAGCGATCCGCTTCAACGGCTTGTTGATGTGGAGGGGAGATTGTGAAAGAGAGAAGAGCAATGTCATCACAGATAAACTAGTTGGAGAGTTGCATGTTATAACACAGGGTAGTCAACATTTTGGTGTCCGTAACAAAATGACCACTGTGGGTTGTGTGACCTAAAACAAAATGCCAGCTGTGGGATGGCTGCTCCAGATTGTGGTGTAACTCAAAAAGCCTGTCATGGAGGATATGGCACAACATAAAACGGCATGTGGGGAGTGTAACCCGGAATGGCGGCTGTGGTGTACTACAAATGGCAGCTATAGGGTGTGGTGTAACACAAAACGCCATCTGTGTTGATGTGGCTGCCACATGTAAAAGTACAAAACAAGAAACAGGAACACAAAATGGTGCGGGCGTACTCCACTTCACCCCATCTTGTACATTTTTACCTGAATATTTCCTGGCACTTTTCATGGATGCCATAGGAAGTTATTCTGTGCATATTAACACCTGTAGGCACTAGGTTGGTGGCCCCTGTTTTAATGTATTAGTGGGTTTGTCTCCAACTGGTCTCCTAAAGCTTTTAGAAATTGCTAGGCAGGTTAAACTGACTCTCCAGGGTGAGATATATATTCCGTTTTCAAACATTATTCCTGAAGTCTATCACTCTTTATTTGGCTGCCCTAGAACAGTCTTTGGCTGCAATAGCATGGCAGTTTATTTCATTTCCCCGATGTTTCCCTAGCTGTACATTTCTGCATTTTAAGTGAGCAACATTCCCCAAGTCTGAATGCAGCCTATAGGACAGAGAATGGTAGTATAACGCAATAAGGACTCACCTCTCGTGAAGAAGCCAAGCAAACATAGGATAACATAGGCCAAACACCCCATCTTTCTTCTTCACCTAAGAAGAAATCAAGAGGTATTGTTGCATGGCAAAAACATGGAGTTACCAAGACCACTTGTGAAATGTGGGTCTTGAAAGGGGAAATTTTCTTGTCATAAGTTTACAGTGTTTGGCTCACATTGCTGCAGGGTGTACTTATCATTCCCTTTTGTCTCACATCCACCAGAGCCAGACCGAGGCATTTGGCTGCCTGAGGCAAAGGACAAAATGGCCCCCTGTTTCACATACATTTATTGGACTGACAGCTGAATCTTATTTTGACAGTGGTGGTGGGACAGCATCTTCCTGAGAGCAGCTAGCTAGCTTAGGAAGCACAGGGCAGGCTGCTCTCTAGCACCTCCCTGCCAATCACCACACTCCCTGCCATTGGCCACCTGAGGCAAATGCCTCACTCTGCTCAATGATAGGGCCAGCCCTGACATTCCCCCTGATGAGTTCAGAGTTGTATACATGGTATATATGTCCATCTTAGGGCCAAACATGATTTGATTGCAGCAGTGCCATGGGTAGAACTGTAAGTGCCACAAAAAGGTGATAAAGAAGACCTGCTTGCACTTTTCTTCCTAAAACCAAGTTTGTCAGGTCTCTAAGGTGTAGGGAGACTGGGGTGGGGTCAAAAGAACTGTGGCAGAACATTTGAGAAGTGTGAAAACTAGGTTTTGATTCTCACATTAGTTTGGAAAGTACAGGTGAGGTCTGTTCATACTAGGATTTATAAAGGTTGAATTCCTTGAGAATGTCTACCAAATTTGCTTCTGCCTTCCTTATAGTGGAGGGTCTGGGCCTGGAAAGAAAAGGGAAATGACTTTTACTCCCATTTTGGAGGATTTAGAAATGGGAAAGTACGGGCAACAGGAAGCTTTATAGAAAACAAACAGTGCTTAAGTTGGGCCCTGTGGCTGTTGTATATAGTTGCACCATGGTCATCACTAAAACCCTGGTAGGTAGGCTCATGTGAGAGACAGAGACTGGTCCATGGCCACTTAAGGGTTTTTATGGCTGAGAATGCAATTGAACCAAGTCTATCCAAGAATAGCTCTCACTTTCAACTATGCCGCATTGACTGTGTTTACACATGGCTCTAAGTTATGGTTTATTCCACAAACCAAGAGCTATCTCACACATGAGCAATCATGCCACAGCTTGCTTCTCTGATTTGTTTTCCTGGTGCTCTTGCCTTTGGGGTGTAGCACTGAAACAAACCATGGTTAAGCAAGACTGGTGTGTTTGGACATAACACCAAAACATAGTTAAAACAAGCTGTGGTTTGTAAGCTGACAACTAACCATGGATTCACATCGTGCTTTGTTGACAGAAAACGAACCACGGATCGTCTGTTGGACAGGGTTCACTGATTCAAACAAATCACAATCAAACTAAATAAACCATGGCTTAGTGTTATGTACACTGGTTTATCATAGAGTTTAGCTCTGAAAGTACACATGGCTCAGAATATAAAATATTCTTTACAAAAATGTTCGGCATGTCTGCCCCTTACAAATCCAATAAAGAGATAAGATGTGGAAACTCTCTAACCTGTATGCTACAAATCAACAAGCAAAAGTATGTCCTCACTCACCCAAGTCCTCGTTCCCAAGATGGTTGTCCTCAACAGATGGCTGCCTCTGCTGTGTCCTGCTCAGGCTGTCTCATTCTGAGCAGCTTTTATCCAGACCTGGTTGGAATCTGGCTGAAACCTGGAGCAGAAAGGTTAAGGCAGCACATGATGGACGAGTTTGCTTATTGCACAAGCCAGAGGCAAGTTAAGCCAGGGGCTATTTTAAAAGATTATTTTTTTAAGCAAGCTCAGTCAATGGGATGTTGCTGTATTTGGGGGGGGGTGTATAATGCTTCTTTTTATTTAAAACTGAGATTGATTCAATCAAGATTGCTATGGTGTGAGGAATCACAGAATTGTAGAGTTAGAAGGAACCCCAAGGCTTATCCAATCCAACCCCCTGCAGTGAAGGAATCACAGCTAAAGAATCTCTGATCATCAATGAAAATGGACTCTCTAAGACCTTGTGGATGGAAAGAGACTTACACTGCAAGCCTGGAAGACTAAACATCCAATTACTGTTAATATCAGCTGGCAATGACAACTTATAGAATACAAAAAAAGCAAACAGTCAATTCCTCTTGTTGTTATTTGCTTTTAAAAGCAGCCCTTCAAATTAAATCTGCAATGCAATGCAAAAATGTTGCTTGAATTTCACACAGATCAAAATCCAGATGATTTCACTTCACTGCTGGACAGAAACACTCTGTAAAGTGTAGATGTATCCCACCAACAATGTCATGCAGCACTTCCTGAAATTCTTCTTAGTGTTGACATAACCAAGACAAATTGGCATCATGCAGAACAATCCCCCAACAGCTCCCCAGTCCCTAAAAATAGCCTTCAACCTGAGTGCCCCCTTGGCCTAAGGCCCAAACAACTGGGGATTGTGGTTTGAACAAGTCAACGTGAGCAACTGAGAGTTATACTCCCGGAAACTTTCAACATGACCTGCTTTAACTGCCCTGCACATGCTGAAATATACAGGACAAGTACTGAGACTGAAGCCGTAGCAGAGGAAGAGATCCAATCAGCCTGGGTATCCTATGCCACTGGGCTAAATACCACAACCTCAAGCCCTCTGACCCCCTTCAGGTTATCTTCTCCATCAGAGAGAAATGAGTTCAAAAACACCAAAGGAAGTAGTGTGTGCTAAAATTGTCTTCCCTTTTTCTACTGAGTTCTCAGCATCTTCACAAATATGCACAGTGGGCCCTTCCTGGTGTCAATTTTTATCGTGCATTCATGAGGACCTGTGCTCCTGATGGTATTGGGCTGGTTGTAAGGGATCCTGTTTTCAAGACTGTTTGGACTTGCAAAACTTTCGAGGCAAACATACCGTTATGGACAACCTCCCTGAATCTCCAAGCGATGAGAGACTCCAGGACTACCTGAGCTTTCCCCAGGGTTCAGTTTCCTTTTGGAATGACGGCCAGCACACACAAGGTGTCTTTCAGATATATGGTTTTATTTAAGCATATATACAACCTGAGCATAGGCTGGAGGGGCTCCCAGTATTAACACCCCCATAGGTATTGCTTGTGGGTGCCTGGGCTCCCAGGGGCCCCCTGGAGATGGCGCCCCCTGGTGTTCTGTCAGACGGGAAGCAAATGTGAGCTATGGACCCAGGGCCGTCTTTAGCAGATGCGGCGCCAGGGTGCAAATATCCGCCCAGCACCCCCAAATTACCATAGAAAGTGGGGGGTCCGAAGCTGCGCACTGCCAGACATGGGAGGGCACAACTCCCCCCCCCATGCCACTGTGGGAGAGCAATCTACTAGGGAGGAGAGTGATCCCTGCGGAGGCTTGGGAGAGAAGCTGCACGCCCACCAGCCATATAGTTGGCAGGGCACAGCTGGCGGGCATGCAGGGAAAGGGGAGGCCACCAGCAAAGTCACACAGCTCCCCCACTCACTGGGGCGCCCCTGAGAGGCCAGCACCATGGCACAATGCACCACTAAGACCTATGGGAAAGACGTCTCTGTATAGACCCCTGCAGAGTCCAGACTGGTTTTTGATTGTGGGTTTATTCTACAAGCTGCACTGCATTCACACAGCACTTTATTTCACTTCCCTAGCTGTTAATTTCTCCATTATACTTGAGCATTCACACAATGCAAATAACACTTCTGGAAAACTAATGGAATGTAGCTCATGTTTAGCACTCATTTCCATGTTAGTTTGGATCCAGAAAAAAAATCTACTTGCAGCTCCTTTAATATGAGGAAATCATACGAGAACATTACTTGTGAGATACATACAAATGAAAGGATATTAGAGAATCTTGGGGGCCACCAGCTGCAAATCAGGGCAGGATGCCTGTACATTTAAAGCAGCAGCAGGGACTAGGGCCAGATATGTCCCTTTAGGTGTTGGTCATCAGGGGATGGCTTTTCCCCCTTGCCTTGTGTGCACACCCCATTCCACCCCTAGGAGCCTTCAGAAGGGAGCTGTTGCCAGAAGAACAACTGAGGGGGAGAGAAACTGGCTGCCATCAGGGGATGGTTGGTTTCACCAGTTTGACCCCATCCACCAACCCCAGGAGATTTCAAAAAGGAGTTGCTTAATGGACAATTTGTACTGACCTATTAGTAAGCTGTATGCTTTAGTTAAATGTTTAGCTATGTTGGTCTTTTTTTTCTTCATGTTATGTTGCAGTTTCTGGTGTTGTTAGTCTAATACTGTACAGTGGTACCTCTGGTTACGAACACTTCTGGTTACGAACACTTCAGGTTATGAGCTCTGCTAACCCAGAAATAAGCTGCTCCTGGATGCAAACTTTGCCCCAGGATGCAACCAGAAATCACACACCAGAGGCATGTGTGCAGTGGGAGGCCACATTAGTGAAAGAGTGCCTCAGAATAAGAATGATTTCAGCTTAAGAACGGACCTCCGGAACGAATTAAGTTCATAACCAGAGGTACCACTGTATTTAGACTTTGGTTTTTCTGTGAACCACTTTGAGCAGAGATTTACTTGTGGATATATAAATAAATTGACGCTAGACCTCTCCACCTGTCCCTCAGGACTCTCCTGAGGCCACACCCCTCACCACTGTGTCCTATGACCTTTTAAAGTCCTTTATGGTGTGCAAGGAATGTATGGAAGGAAGGAAACTCTTGCTTGTCCAAGTCAAGGTTAAAGGTGTGAGTGGCTGAGTGTAGAAGCATCTGACTCTTACATAGCTGGGATGTAGTCTACCAGACAAAGGTAAGAATTGGTGCCCATTGGTACCTCTGGCACCAGCCACAAGGGGTCTGTGGCCCCAGAAAGGTTTCCTATGTGGCCCTTGGATCAAGAAAGGTTCCCCACCCTTGGTTGAAAAGCTGTAGCAAAGCTGCAATTTCATGCAGAGTTCGGAGACGTACCTACTGAAACTCTGCCTTCTGCACAAATGGTTGAGTGGAGCCTCTGCTGCCCTCCTTTCTACCCAGCAGCCTAAGGAGACTGAAATCGTTCTACAATAACAGAAACATGCCAAGATATTTATGCATAAGGTAGATAGTTTATTAAGACTGCACTGTGCTGTGGCCATTAATGAAAGGCAAGAGAGAGGCCCACACAAGATAATTCTTCTGAGATGCGTGTTTTGAATGGAGGTGGTTGGAGGGTGTGTTGAATGGCAGATCTCTCTCGCTGCTGTTGAATCAGGCGCATCCCAGCAAGCCCAAAGGGAAAACTCCAGTCTTCTCTAGAGTTCGTGCTTGCAGATGTAGGCATTACGTTTCTTGCACTGAGCATCGTTCCACTGCTTAAAGTCTAGAATGCAAAAAAGAAAAGACAAGGCAGGTGTTACTTCATCTTTCTGGCGCAGGTAGGTCAGTGGCTTGTAGAATATTGCCAACCACTTAGAAATTTCTGCTTTCCGTGATTGAAAAGTTTTGCTTCTAGTCCTCATACTTGTAAAAGGATTTTTAGAGGGGCATGATAGAAAGAATTCTAGGGTTCAAAACAAAGGAAACTAGTACCCCCAAAAAATCCAAACTAGTTCTGCTTTCTGAATTATTAAAAAAAAAATGTGGGCTGGTCCATTAGGGCAAATGGGGCACTGCCCCACCATCTTTGTTCTGGCCTCAGCCAGCTCCCAGATGTGCCTTCTTACTTGCAACCAGTCCAGAGGGTAGCTGTGGCTGTCAGCTGCATCCTCCTTAGTCTCAATGTTGCCCTTGCAGAACTCAACATGGATTGTGGGGGGACTAGAATTAGTTGGCTCTTCCTGACACTGGCTCAGTCTACTGTGGGCCTTCCTGCCTTCCTCCCTGCCAGTCCCAGTAGATGCACTAGCTACCACTGCTTAAACCCCTTTTCATTTCAGGACAATTAACTAGGGATGGCAGGATCTGTCGATTACAGTTTTCTTGGTGTCTCATTTTTCCACTTTTAAGTTCACTTCCCTGTATTTCCATGCCTAAATTCAGTTTGTCACACTGTGCAGTGAATTGTTGTCAAAACCGTTATGAAAATTCACCAGTATTTCACCATGAATTTCTCCTACCAAACCCATTTTTAATACGCAGTTTTGACTGGTGTACTGTAGACGTTTTTGCCATTGCTTGGTCTGGTGGGTCAAGAATGCAACGTGTGAACCTGGCTCAAAACTGTGGCTATCAGACTTTGCCAGCTCGCTAAGAACCACACTGGCCACACATCCTTGTCCTTTTCCAGACCCTGAGAATGGATTGCTTACCCGTGGATCGACGCAGCTCCACACAGTGTTCAGCATTGCGGTAGTTGTCTGGCTGGTTTATCATCCAGGACTTGTAGTTGTAGGTGGATTCATCAGCCCACCTCCATTTCCGGGTCTGCAGAAAAGAGACAGAACAGATCATGTGACACGGGCAATGAAGGACCCAGAAAGAAGGAAGATACTGTTGGGATGACACCAATGCAAGATTAACTGGATATGTTGGCCAATGGGGAGCTGTTATCAGCTGTGATGCAGACACCCATAGAAAACAATGGAGAAGCAACATGTGGGAGAGTTGTGAGATAAGGAAGGGATGCCATTACTAAGGAGCTGTGCTGGCTTCTGATTTGGGGGAACCCTTGGGCAAAGCCACGTCCATCATAGACACCTCTCCTCCTCACCACTATTCCCATCCGCTGCCACTTGCCACCCGCTTGTTTTGCCAAGCAGAAAGCCAAGGGGCAAGCAGGCAGTGTCATTTACTGCTCCCCTTCCTCAACCACCAATATTGCCTGGGTTAGAGTGAGAGGCAGGTGAACAAGCAAGTTGCAGTGATGAAAAGGAAGGACAGGTTTAGGAGGCTTTTATGGATGGGCCACTCCCACTTGGGTATGGGCCCTTGGTGGATGCCCAACTGTATCAAGCCTTGTCACCGGCCATGCTTATATATATATTCTGTTTTACAACTTAGAATACTCATTTAAACATCCCTAAAAAGATCAGTGACTTCCCTTCTTCTCTTTCCATGGTTCATTTTGCATATCATCAATCCCTGTATATTTTATATAAACTAAACCATTCAGTATTCCATTATTACATCCACCAAAACTTATTTACACTGTTGAATCTATCTTAATGCTACCAACGTTTTCAAGTGTACACAGTTTCCCCCCATATATTCAATAAACATTTTCCAATCTTCTTTAAATGAATGTTCTTCTTGTTCTCTTATTGTACTGTACATGTTAAGTCTGCAAGCTGTGCATATTCCATCAGTTTAAGTTGTCATTCTTCTTTAGCTGGGACCTCACTTGTTTTCCATTTTTGGGCTAACAAAACACGGGCCGCAGTATTAGCATACATAAGTAACTTTTTCTGACACCTGTGAATTTCAGTCTGAGTTATCCCCAACAGAAAGAACTCTGGGCTTTTTTCGTAAAGTATTTTTAAACATTTTTCTTCAATTCATTATCTCCCAATACTCTTGTACCCTTTTACAGGTCCACCACATATGAAAGAACGTTCCCTCAACCTCATTGCATCACCAGCCATGCTGTGGAGCTGCTACTCAGTGATGATAGCTAGGAATGGAGCAAGCTTACCTGACGGACATCGTGGAGCCCAATCCAGACGTTGCTTATTTCTTGCTGGTAAGTGGAGATGTGTTCGGCCACCAAGAGGGTCTCTGCTTTGGTGAGGACAGAGGCGAGGTGGGCCCCACGGCCATAGCTCTGGCACTCAATCTAAACATGGAGAAGGAAAGAGTAGTGGTTTCTTCCCCAATGATCATATCCCATCAACAGGATTGGTCAGATGTGGCTCACCGGATGGGGGAGAGCCACGCAACTAGCTTCCTGGCAGGTAAGGGTGCTGAGAGTTGTTGGGAGACCTCTATTTCCCTCACAGAACAAGAATTGCCAGAGGTGGTCTTCCTGGCAAAATTGACCTGAAAGCTCAGGAACCAAGAAGACCAAAACTTTAACAGAGTGGGGGGGAATTATAATTTATCTGGGAGACCACTGTAAGCAGATGAAAACATTAACAGGATTGCATTAACACTTGTAATGTAGCAAATACTATGGAGACAATGGAGTTATATAAAATACTGACCACTGAATAACATGCAGTTGAAAGGGTTGACAAGGGGAAGGTGGGAAGCCCAGAGATTCGAAGGAATCTATCAATACGGGTGTGGGTGGTTGTATTGTTATATTCTTATACTAGTAAAATCAAATAAAAATTATTTCCACACAAAAAAAGAATCACCAGATATGGATTGACTGATAAACCATTCTGAAAATTACATATCTGTGGTGGGAATAGAGTATCCTAACAACGCAAACAACGCTTGCCATGATTATTTGGTGAACCCATGACTATTTCAAAGTATAGAGTAGACAGGGCCTAAATTTCTTCCTCATCCCTTGTTCCAGCCAAACTCCTGAAATGGGAACTGGGAAGCTGACTTATACAGCTTATATATATCACACCTGGGTGGCTGAGAAACACTTCTTACCTCAGCCTCGTGCCAGCTCAACTTATTGTCGAAATATGCATAGCAGTTGCCCTGGTTTTGCAGCCACTCCCTGGCGCAGGTGTCGGCCTCAGCTGCATGGAGACAAGGGGGTAGAAAGGAAAGAAGCATGAAAATGTCAGCAGATATTCCAAAGCATTTTTGCCTTAAAGCAGTAGATGCTGGTCCATTAGAGCACTGCCCTCCCAACCTCAGTCTGCCCTTCACCAGCCCCCACCTGCCTGCCCTCTTACACCCAGTCCAGTAGGTGGCACTGGCAGTCAACTTCCTCTTCCCTAGTCTCAGAGTTGCCCCTTGTAGAACTCAGCAGGAAGGAGGATGGAGGCAAAACTAGCATCCCTTGTCTCTGCCTCTCATTGGCTCTGGATGTACCATTACCTCTGACTCCGCCTCCCTTCTGCCAATCCCAATAAGCAGCAGCCACCACAGTATTAAAGAAAGAAAAGCCAGCTTGAGCTACGCCACAGGTGGCATGGACAGGTTGCCTCTGAACATATGCTCAGTGCACCTGTTTGAGATCAGTCCCTAGCTCACAAGCTCTTTCACTTCTGGCTTTCCCAAAAAATGTTCTTTTTCAACCACCTAATTCTGGGCTGGGAGGGAAGCTTTAAGTGACTGGGATTGTTAAAGAATTGGAGCCTGAAAACTTTGCTCATCTACTGCAAATAGAGACAAGGGAGAAATTCAACCAGGTTTGCATTTAAAAGCGAATCCACCCGATTCACATTTTCTCAACCAACGTGCAAACCAAAATTCAGTCATCCTTTGAAATTTGCATTCTTCTGAATTTTTCAGTGCAGTTCTGCAGTTGAGTAACATGTATCAAAAATGCATATACTGGGGGAAAGTATGTGTTAAAATTGCATAGATGGGTGAAAATAACATACAAAATGCATTACATGAGGAGAAATGCCTTGCAGAAGTGTGTGTGGTAGTCAAAAGTGCATTTAAGAATTTGTTCATTGGCAGAAATGGACACTAAAATATTGATACTTTTTTCATGATGGTTGTTTCATGTTTTAAAAAAAGGTTGCAAATTGTTGCAGGCATGTGGAGGACTGAATTTAAGATTGGAAAAATGAGAAACTTGCAGAGCCAAAATTGACGGATTTGTCTGCAAACCACCCAGAAACCTCCTCCTAGATTATGAGCAACCTTCTGCCCACCCAGAGTCTCTTATTTAAAGGCCCTAAAAGTGCTAAATTGATTCACCACTTTGTCTCTAGGGATGTTACTCAATGTGATCCATGGAGCAAGCCCAGATTATTTTTTATCCTTGTTAACATGAGCCCAGTTCAAGCCACCTCATACTAAAGAGCCAGAGGTTTAGTAGATTTTAGTGGATTGCCATTACTTGAAAATGAAACACCTACATTTGTCTGAAATTCTGCTCAATTGTGACTAAGGTTTCTGATATCTTTCTGAAAGACTGAATTGGCCAACTAAAGGCATTTGAAGAAAGTTGCTTTTCACCCAAGTCCACTTCTTAACTGGTCATATAATATCAGTATTTGCAAAGGAAACTCACCTCCCAGGAAAGGGTTGGAGACCAGGATGCCCAGAAGGCATAGGCTGAAATACGTGAAGAGTCCCATCTTCTGGTTGACCTTTGAGATGGGAGGAAGTAGAGATGGGAGGAAGAAGAGTATGTTCAAAAGGTGCATTTAGTGGATACTATACTATACTATACTATACTATACTATACTATACTATAAATTTCTAAGTTCATCAATGCTTTACTTACTGGCTGGGACATAAAAAAATCATTTGAGACTTCCTGCCACGTTTCCCATAAGTCATAGAGCTGGAAGGGACCTCCAAGGTCATCTAATTGAGCACCTTGCAGAGGCATATGATCCACTACAACATCATCCCTGGTGGGTGGTTATCCAGTCTTTGGTCAAAAACCTATAGCCAACGAGAGCCCACCACCATCTGAGACAGAAGTCCTCACTGAAGAGTCCACCATCATATCTCAGAGATTTTGAAAACATTTCGCTCTACACTCTGCAGGAACTCACTCACAAAGACTTATGAATCACCTCCCCCGAACTTACCTTGTGATGCTGTTCTCCTAGGTAGACAAGTGTGGTTGTCAGCTGAGCCAGGTGCCTCTCTGATGGTCTCACCTAGTCTGGGCAGCTGTTATTAGACCCCAGACAGAGGTGGTGCAATACCAAGATGAGCAAGATGCTGCAAGGAAATCCTGGTCCGATGCCTTCAGTTTTGCATAATTTAAGGCCAAATCAGTGGAATGTCATTTGTTTCACTAGCCTTGAGCATTGCAGAAAGGGCATCAACCTCTCCTTCATTTTGATGGGGAAAAGCATATTGAAGGGGGGAGAGAATTTTGAATCTATTTCCTTCTGAAGAGGAAGAGGAACCATATTCTTAATCAACCATCAAAACACTTGTTCGCAGTCCTTATTTCCTATGCCCCTACCCACCACTGCCATGTGGCCCTTAGAAGGTTACCTGGAAAGAAATGTGGCTCACTTTTTGCTACTATGTTATACCAGTTCCCGAGGCAAGTTTGCTCCAGAAAGGCCACGCAAAGGGATCAGGATCTTGCCTCCCACAGGACTGTACAAGGGTCCCTGATTATAAAATCATAGAAAACGGGAGATACGTAGCCGCTCTAGCAACATATCTCTATTTCCTCACATCCAGAAACGCAAGAAGGGCTTTCACTCTTGCTAGAAGCTCAGCCTTGCCCTCACCGGTTCTGGAAGGCTCCTACAGAAGAATCTCGTATGCACAGAGACTTTACACCTGCCCATTAGGAAGCCCCGAACATATATATTTTTAGAGGTTCTTTTTATGTTGAGATCCATAGAGACACCATTGATCCTTTGCTGAAAGGCTCGCCGATCTTTCAGACAAGTCTAAACTTAATTCTCTCCTCTTAGGCAAAGATCACAAGACGACCTGGCTGGTAGCCAGATTCTGCGCCCAGATTTGTAGGCACAGATCATCCTCTAGAATAAAATAGCTTACAGTGGTACCTCGGGTTAAGAACTTAATTCATTCCGGAGGTCCGTACTTAACCTGAAACTGTTCTTAACCTGAAGCACCACTTTAGCTAATGGGGCCTCCCACTGCCGCCGCGCCACCACCGCGCAATTTCTGTTTTCATCCTGAAGCAAAGTTCTTAACCTCAAGCACTATTTCTGGGTTAGCGGAGTCTGTAACCTGAAGCGTATGTAACCTGAAGCATATGTAACCCGAGGTACGACTGTACTAGGGAAATGCTGAAGTCACCCTTTGGGGTGCCTCAGGGTCGATTTTTTATGGTAGCCCAAATCTCCGTTGTACAGGTGTATGTATATATCTCAATTTCAACTCATGAGCTATTGCTGCAATCTGCTCCGATTGTATATTTTATCTTTATGGACGCTGTTTTTATTGTGTTATGTTACGTGAGCTGGTCTTTGACTGTAATAAATTGTCTATCTATCTTGCCTCCCTTACGGGGCGGTTGTGTACACTCTAATAATATAATTAATGGTTCTGCAGCCAGGTGGCACCATTCTTCTGTTGACATTAAGCAGCTCTGACCCAATACGCTGCCTGGAGGAGCAGATGATCCAGGAGACACGTGTGCATGTCCTTGAGCTCTTCCTAAGAAGAGCAGCATCAAGGAATCATCACTACAAGTGTCTGATGTGTGACATTTAAAACATTAAGTGCGTAGTTACAATGACCTAATGCTCTTCACATCCTGTTCAGGTAAACACAGCTTTCAGATGCCATCTTAGAAAGCGGAAATATCACCCTGTCCCCCTTTTTTTATCAGGACAGCCCCTGTTTTCTGGCTCCTTGCTAAATCGCTGCCCATATTTTGTCCCTATTTTGCTGTTTTTTTCTGGCAGCAGAGGGGAAAGGTAGAGAACCCCTTAAGAAAATCTCCTAGCTCCACCTTCTGACTGTCTAAGTTTTATCCAAACCATGCTCTGCTGTAGCCTTGAAAAAAATGAAATACAAATAAAAATCTTGATATTTCACAACTAAAACCTTTCATCTTAAACATATTGTTTAATTGGGATAGATAAAAAGAAAGGTTTTGGTTGTGAAATATCAATATTTTTACTGGTATTTCAATTTTTCAAAAAGATTTGTTAGAAAATAAGGTTAAAGGGATGCGGATGGCACTGTGGTTTAAACCACAGAACCTAGGACTTGCTGATCAGAAGGTCAGCAGTTCGAATCCCCGCCACAGGGTGAGCTCCCGTTGCTCGGTCCCTGCTCCTGCCAACCTAGCAGTTTGAAAGCAAGTCAAAGTGCAAGTAGATAAATAGGTACTGCTCTGGCGGGAAGGTAAACGGTGTTTCCGTGTGCTGCTCTGGTTATGGTTCTGGCTTAGTCATGCTGGCCACATGACACGGAAGGTGTACGCCGGCTTCCTCAGCCTATAGAGTGAGATGAGCACCACAACCCCAGAGTCGGTCACGACTGGACCTAATGGTCAGGGGTCCCTTTACCTTTACCTTTAAGGTTAAAGTACTATCTAAAATGTGAAGCTTGCTTTTAAAGTGGCACACAAAAGATGAAAAGGTCAAGTCGGTAATGATACACTGGGCAAAGGACTTGGGACATAATATCCAGATGGCAGATTGGGAAAGGTTTTGGAAATCAGATTTGAAATTTATGGCATGTTGTACATTGAAAGAAAATTATATAAAAATGATGTACCGGTGGTATTTGACTCCTACAAAGCTAGCAAAAAATGTATAAGACAAATTCAAATATCTGCTGGAAATGTAAAGAAAAAGAAGGTACCTTTTATCATATGTGGTGGACTTGTAAGGTAATAAAAGCTTTCTGGGAGATGGTATATAATGAAATGGAAAGATGCTTAAAATAATCTTTGTTAAGAAACCAAAAGCATTTTTTTTTAGGAATTACAGGTACCGGCATACCAAAGGAGCAGAAGATACTCTTTATGTATGGAACAACAGCCACCCAGATATTATTAGCCCAGAGCTGGAAAGAAGACAAAGTCCCTACCAGAGAGGAATGGCAAACCAAACTGATGGACTATACCAAGAAGGCAAACCTGATCGGAAAACTCAGAAACCAAGAGGATAAAAACTATAAAAGAATGGGGAAAAATTGTACGTTACTTAGGAGATCACTGTAAGCAGATGGAAACAAGAGCAGGATTTTGATTCACTTGTAGAGGAAAAAACACTATGGACAATAAGGTTTGATATAAAAATTGGAGTAGGGATGAATATGCAGTTGTAGATGTTTAAAATAAAATTCCATGGAGGGGATGGGGAGAAATCTCAAGATTCGGAGAATCTCCTTATACAGATATATTTTTACTAGTTTGTGTTTATTTGTACTCTGTATTGGTAAAACCAATAAAAATGATATTAAAAAAGAAAGAAATACAAATAATCATGAGGAGTTGTCACAAAAGGTAAGGAGACCAGCCCCCTTCTGCTTACCCCCGCCCCAGTCTTTTGTTGTGAATTGGGGGCAACATATACCCTTTAAAAACTTTCACTAACATGCAAGTGCATGGCATACCTTCCCTTCCCAAAGGCACATGAGGTTACCACTTTGCTGAAGCTAAGCAGGTCTCAGTTCGGACAGTGAGCGGATGGGTGACCACCTAAAAATCACATGCAATGCACATTGGGTTCCATGGCAGAATAAAGTCAGAGGAGCAATGTAAATAAATAAATTTGCAATTGAATGCCGGTCAGTGCATAGTCTGTAGGTCCATAACGCAGCCACCTTGCTTGTTGAAGTAGTCTGGGTGTTGTCCCTGCAGAGATGGAATAAATACCTGCAAAAATTGCTGTATGCTACCTTGAGTTCCCTTGAGAAAATGTGAGCAATAAATGAATTGAATATCAAACTGGGGTGAAGGGAGAGAGAGAGAGAACACTTCAGATTGAAAAATAACATGTCAGGCTACAGAACAGACTAATTTCTTTTCCCTTGATGTGAAGACCTTCTACATGCAACATGCAGGGATTTTATTTTATTATTATCACTTTCATGGAAGACGACCAGTCAGCTACCTGGGATGTAAAACTTAAGAAAAGGAGCAAGTGTTTTCATGGTTGATATTGAACGTTCTTTCCCCATCCAATTTGGGTACAGATTTAAAAGGCCCGACATTTTTCAATACACATTGCCCCATCTAAAATATATATATATTTAAATGCACGATGTCCTTTCTGCAGTGCTGATGAACAGCGATAAAAGCCGCTTTCCACAAGTTCAGTCTTTGGTTATGCAAAACTGGAGACTCTGGGCCAGGACTTCCTCAAAGCAATTATCTCACCTTGGTATTACACCATCTCTGCCAATGGCCTATATAACAGCTGTCCAGCAAAGGTGAGACCATCAGAGAGGAACCCGGCTCAGCTTTGACCACATCTGTCTACCCAGGGAAACAGCAACACAAGGTGAGTGGCTGGGGAGATGATCCCCAAGTCTTGATGAGAGGGTTCCTGCAGGCAGCAGATCAAGGGTACGGATATGCTTACAGCCTAGGACCCTCGTACCTACGACACCGCCTCTCCCGTTATGCCCCACAGAGGACCTTAAGGTCCATAAATAGTAACACCCTAGAGGTCCCAGGCCATAAGGAAGTCAGAATAACCTCAACCAGAGCCAGGGCCTTTTCAACACTGGCTCCGGCCTGGTGGAACGCTCTGCCTCATGAGACCAGGGCCCTGCGGGATCTGATTTCTTTCCGCAGGGCCTGTAAGACAGAGTTGTTCCACCTGGCCTTTGGCTTGGAATCAACTTGATCCCCTCCTCCTCTTTCCTTTTCCCTTTCTCCTTCTGTGATGGAACTCCCTGGCTTTTTTTCTGACCCACGTAGGACCAGTCTGGATAGGTGGCCTTGGCGAAGACTTGACGTTTTCATCCCCAAAAAAGTTTTTGATTTGAGTTCCTACTCAAATGAGGCTGCATTTTAATGTTGTATTTTAATCTTGTTTTTAAGTTGTATTTCAATCAATTGTTTTATACCTGGTGTTAGCCACCCTGAGCTGGGGAGAGCGGGGTATAAATAAAATTATTTATTATTATTATTATTATTACTACTACTACTACTACTACTACTACTACTACTACCTTTGAAGGGTTGTTGATGCATCGAGAAAGTCATTCAGGGGAAACATCTGGTTGCAGCATTCCCCATCTCTTTCTCTGCCACCCCAGCTCTCCCTCCTCTTCCTACTCAGCTTTGTGGGTCAAATGTGATCAAACCCGGGCCACAGGATTCCCACCGCAGACCTAGAGTGTGGGGAACTTTCAAAGACTTTGAGATGAGATGATGTGTTCATGGAGGAATGATGTGTTCTTGCAGGAAGTTGTACCAGCAAGGGCTGTAGCTCAGTGGTAGTTGCATATAGAAGGTTTCAAACTTACTGTACTCTCCACTCTCAAAGGTCAACCAGAAGATGGGACTCTTCACCTACTTCAGCCTTTGCCTCCTGGGCATCCTGGTCACAAATCCTTTCCTGGGAGGTGAGTTCCCCTTAACAAATACTGACATTGCATGACCAGTTAACAAACGGACTTGACTGAATACCTATCACCAGATCTTTTTAGTCTTTGCAGTCTTTCCAAAAGATATTGGAGATAAAGCTAATCCAAAATCTCCATCTGGCTCATGCAGTCCTTAACATTAGTGGGTCTCTGTGGTTTAGTGGGTGTTGTTGGACTACAATGTTCCTCGGTCCTGAGTGTTGTGGTGGGGGTTTGTTTTTGTTTTTTTGTTTTTATAAACATTATTAAATTTTCCACAATTATAACAAATACAACATAGAAAAAAGAGAAGAAAACACACAAGAGAAAACACATTACTAAAAAAGAAAAACAAAAAAGAAATCTTAAACACATATCCCTTGAAAACCCAATTTCTCTTACATTGTTAATTGACTTCCTCAGATCCCTCCCTTCTGAATTTCATTGTATCTGCGTGTAACAGCTCTCCAATATCATTCTTAAACTAAAATTATTTCCAGCAATTAACTATCCTGTTCTCTTTTCTTACTGTTCTAAATCCAGCTTACTTACAATTAAATCCTATTTTAATCCTAGGCCTATCTGGTGCTTTCAAGTGACTTCTAATTATTTATATTACAATATTTATTCAAATAATCCTTAAATTTCTTCCAATCTTCTTGATATTCCTCTTCTTTCTGGTCATGGACTCTTCCAGTCAGGTCGGCTGGCTCCAAAAAGTCCAACATCTTCATCTGCCATTCTTCCAACGTTGGGATTTCTTGAGATTTGCAATTTTTAGCTAACAGCAGTCTTGCCGCCTTAGTGGCATACAAAAATAATTTAACATCTTTTTTGAGCAATTCCATTCCTCCTCGGTCCTGAGTGTTGACCACGCTTGGTAGGGCTGATGGGAGTCGGGAGTCCAATGATGTGGAGGGCACCAGGTTGGGGTAGGATGGAAAGTGTTGGACTAGGGCTGGGGCAACCCAAGTTCAAATCCTCATGCAGCCATTAAGCTCAGCCCTGGGCTGGACACTATCTCTCAACCTAACCTGCCTTGCATGATCCTTGTGTAGTTGGGAGAGGCATGTGTGCCACGTCAAGTTCCTGAGAGGACTGGTGGTATATCAACGAAAGGCAAGTGAGATGTAATATCAAAGTTCAGGGACTGTCAAGCAAAAACGTTTAGGGTGTAAAACAGGGCCAATAAGGGGTGTGGCCTGTGAGAGGGGGCGTGGCCTAGGGAGAGTTCCAAGGACCAGATAGAGAAGCTTGGAGGTGCATATTTGGCCCCAGGCCTGATATTCTCCTACCCCTGGAATACCCTTCCATAAACAGTTCTGTGGGGCAAGTCTATGCCACCTGTCATCTAGGGGTGAGGTAGGGTTTTCTTCCTTACAGTGAACATTCTCCCTTAACTGCCAGGGTGGATTTGATTTAAATCAAATCGATTTAAATCACTAGTCAGTAAGACTTGATTTAAATCTCTCTTTTTTTACAGAAAGACTCATTCTTGCTGGTATAATCTTAATATTGACAACCAGATGAAGGTTTCATTTTTGGAATAATAAATTTTCAGAGTAGTTTATATTTGGACAACCTTTCTGCTGTACTTTATTGGAAGGAGAAAAATACTCATTTCCTTAACGTCAGGGAACTGCCACTTAATAACAATTTAAGCAATTTATTTAACTAAAACAATAACATTATAGCATATGTATCCATGTTTGTTAACTGAGGTGGTTAAACAATTAAAAAAAACTTAGACTAAGTTTTAGCACAAATGAAAAACTTAAAACAAATCCTTATTTCCTGATGAATAGCCTTTGGAGTATAATGTAACTTAAAAAGAAAACTATCTTTAGAAAGATTTTTCCTCCAAAAGCATTTTGTTTTAAAAATTCAATTTAAATTTTTTAAAAAACCAATTTAAATTTTAAAAATCCATTTTTATTTTTATTTTTTTAAAAAAAAAACATTGATTTTTATCCACTCTGCTAACTTCTAAGCAATCTATCTGCCCAATACCAACGCCATTTCTGTCTCTCTCTCCATGCAGCTGAGGCCGACACCTGCGCCAGGGAGTGGCTGCAAAACCAGGGCAACTGCTACGCATACTTTGATGCCAAACTGACGTGGCAAGAGGCCGAGGTAAGGAGCATTTGACACCCAACCAGTTACATCCCTACAATTTTGAAAGCAAAATTTGAGAATGATTGAAACTTGTACAAAGCAGAACTCATGATTTGGAAAGTTTTGCTCCTGCACCAATCCAGCTGGTTGGATATGATCGGAGGGGGAGTTTTCTTTTCTCCTTCTCTCACCTCAAAATGAGTACTGACCTGAATTTCTCTCCCATCTCTACCTGCTAGTATAAAAATATTGAATATGACAAGCTGATAAGTAACAATGTTACCTTAAAACTCACCATCAAGACTTGTGCTTCTTAGACGTACAGTGGCACCTCGGGTTACAGACGCTTCAGGTTACAAACGCTTCAGGTTACAGACTCAGCTAACCCAGAAATAGTACCTCAGGTTAAGAACTTTGCATCAGGATGAGAACAGAAATTGCGCGGCAGCAGCAGGAGGCCCCATTAGCTAAAGTGGTGCTACAGGTTAAGAACAGTTTCAGGTTAAAAACGGACCTCCGGAACGAATTAAGTACTTAACCTGAGGTACCACTGTATCCCTCAAATTGGGGGGGGGGGGTTGTTAAGTGACTTTTTAAAAAAATCCACAAAATTTAAATTCCAGTGTGGGTGGATTCAGCTCTGCACCAGCCCTGCTGGTAGGGTAGGACAAGATAGGATATTACATCTCTCTTTTCTTCTCTGTCCTCAGATTGAGTGCCAGAGCTATGGCCGTGGAGCCCACCTCGCCTCTGTCCTCACAAAGGCAGAGACACTCTTGGTGGCCGAGCACATCTCCACTTACCAGCAAGAAATAAGCGACGTCTGGATTGGGCTCCACGATGTCCGTCAGGTGAGCTTCTCCCATGTGCTCCATTCCTGGTCCATGTGAGCCCTGAGCGGGGATTCCTTAGCATTGCCACTCCAATTTTATTCCAATATCCTCCCAGGCAGAATCCCAAATTGGACAAATTCCTGGAGGATAAGGCTTTTGACGGCCATCCTCTGCCTCCAGTCTGGGGTAGTAATTCTTCTGAATGCCAGGTGCCGGAAACTTCAGGACAGTGTGTGCTGTTGCCCTCAGGTCCTGCTAATAACAACAACAACAACAACAACAACAACAACAACAACAACAATAATAATAATAATAATTTATTATTTATACCCCACCCATCTGGCTGGGTTTCCCAAGCCACTCTGAGCAGCTTCCAACTGAATATTAAAAACAATACAACATCAGACATTAAAAACCTCCCTAAACAGGGCCGCCTTCAGATGTCTTTTAAAAGTAAAATAGTTGTTTATTGCCTTGACATCTTCTGGGAGGGCATTCCATAGGGCAGGCACCACTACCAAGAAGGCCCACTGCCTGGTTCCCTGTAACTTGGCTTCTCGCAGCAAAGGAACCACTAGAAGGCCCTTGGCACTGGACCTCAGTGTCTGGGCTGGATGATGGGGGTGGAGACGCTCCTTCAGATATACAGGACCGAGGCCATTTAGGGCTTTAAAGGTCAGCACCAACACTTTGAATTGTGCTCGGAAACATACTGGGAGCCAATGAAGATCTTTCAGGACCGGTGTTATATGGTCTCGGCGGCTGCCCCCAGTCACCAGTCTAGCTGCCTCATTCTGGATTAATTGCTTGCAGGTTTCCCTCAGGCATCTGGTTGGCCGCTGTAAGAACAGGATGCTGGGCTATGATAGGCCATTGGTCTGATCCAGCAGGCTCACCTTACATTCAAATACACCATTTTGTTATTTTCCACGGGAATCCTTCTCTTTTCCTGCATCATAGCTGCCCGCTGACCAGAACTCTCCAGCTCAGCTTTTGCGCTGGGCTCCTCCCACTTCCTTAACCACATGATCTGTTCCGTCTCTTTCATGCAGATCAAGTAGAATGGTGCTCCATTCCTGTTTGATGGTTTGGTGGCTCCATGGCAATGCCTTCCCACTCTTACCTCAACAATCTCCCAAATTTATTCCCCCACGCCGCTGCTTCTCCATTGTTTTCCACGAGAGTCCTCCTCTGCTGCTAACAGATCCCCATGTGGAAAACTCTCCAGCAAGTTGGCTTCATCCACTTTCTCTATCTGGCCCCTTCCATCACATGATGTGTTCTGTCTCTTTTCTGCAGACCAGGAAATGGAGGTGGGCTGACGAATCCACCTACAACTACAAGGCCTGGATGAACCACCAGCCAGACAACTACCGCAAAGCCGAGTACTGTGTGGAGCTGAGACGAACCACAGGTAAGCAAGTCATTCTCAGTGTCTGAGAAACGACAAGGGCATTTTAGGACAAGGATAGGAAAACTCAAGCCTGGGGGGCCAAATATGCCACTTTGTCTGGCCCTTGGAACTCTTCCCAGCCATATCCTCTCTCCCCTGGCCATGACTACCCTCCCTGACTCTGCTCCATGCCCTTGCTTTGTGTTTGTGCCTGCCTGGACTGTGTCCTTGAACTCTGGCTTGTCTGGATAGAGCAGGCAGAGGGAGGTGGGAGTGTGTGTGTGTGTGTGTGTGTGTGTGTGTGTAGAAACCAGCTTATTAGACAAGGGTAAAGTTAACATTCACTGCTCCACCCACTTTTGCCTCTGGCCCTGCCCATCAATGGCATGTGGCCCTCAGGAAATTGTCCAGATAGATATGCAACCCTCAGGCTGGAAAAGGTTCACCACTCCTGATTTAGGGACACAATGGCTGGCCATGTTCTGAATACAGTGGTACCTCGGGTTACATACACTTCAGGTTACAGACTCCGCTAACCCAGAAATAGTACCTCGGGTTAAGAACTTTGCTTCAGGATGAGAACAGAAATCGTGCTCTGGTGGCGCGGCGGCAGCAGGAGGCCCCATTAGCTAAAGTGGTGCTTCAGGTTAAGAACAGTTTCAGGTTAAGAATGGACCTCCGGAATGAATTAAGTACTTAACCCGAGGTACCACTGTATACCATGAGATGGAGAGCTACAACTGATCTATGCAGTTCAGTTGCCTGTGAATACCATAGCTTGCACCTGTATACACACTATACCTTTAAGCCAGATTTGAAACACATTCTTTCCCTCACATAATTCTGAGCACTGTAGTTTGCCCCTCACAGAGTTACAGTTCCTAGCAACCTTAACAAACCATAGTTCCAAAAATTCTTCAGGGCGATGTGCTTTGAATGTGCTGTGTGCGCACAGTGTCTACAAATAACACCCAAACCACAGAGAAGGCATGCTCTCCTTTTTTTCCAAAGTCAGGGTAGCCAGCATGACACCCTTCAGATGTGCACTATGACTCCCATCTGCTCTGGTCCACATGGCTAGGGGTCGGGGATGATGAGTGTCATTGTACAAAAAAATCCAGAGGTCACAAGGTTAGCTACCCATCTCCTAGAGTGCTCTTGAGCAAAAATATCTAGCCTCAGATGTGAAAAACTCTTGGGGAAGAAATATACAGATCAGAAAACAAACTGAAACTTTGTTGTTGTTGTTTAGTCATTTAGTCGTGTCTGACTCTTCGGGACCCCATGGACCAGAGCACACCAGGCACTTCTAACTGAAACTTTACTCCTTTGTTTTATTTGCCTTCACACATTTGAACATTAGAATCAGTTCTATTTGCTTTTCCCCTTAAAAATATTAATCGTGGGAACTTGAAGCTCTTATGAAACCTGAGATTTAATTGGAGGTTGGCAACATCAGTTCAGGTTACAGAACCGCCAAACCAAAGGGCTAACTTGAGCCTTATCTTCTGCCTCCTAGACTTTAAACAGTGGAACGACGCCCCCTGCAGGAAACTCAACGCCTACATCTGCAAGCATGAACTGTAGGGAAGACTGTATCGCCCGACTGCGCCTGCCAGGATGGAACTGGACCCGGGCACAAGAGATTGGCTGACTTGGTGGATGTGTCTCTCTGATGCCATTACTCTCCCTCCTTCCCTAAAGCCAAATACCAGCTCCTCCTGTTCATCCTGTTTTCAGTGCCATCTCTGAGGAGCTGCTTCTGTTCTCTGCCTCTTTCCCTTACCCTTTTCGTGTATGTGAGTGTATCTCTGCAGGTACAGTGTGATGTTAATAAACTCTTTCTTGTGCATCTCTATTTCCTGGCATGTTCCTGTAATTCCAGATAGCTCCCAGTCCGCTCAGCCTCCTCTAGGATGGCCACATGGGGGAAGGAGGTCAATAGGAACACACTCTCTGCTCCTTTGTGCATTTGGGAGAATTTGGAGAGGTACTACAGCTTCCTTCTCTCTTGCACAGGATGCTACACCTGTAGTCACAATCGTGCCATCAGCTGTGCCCTGGGCTACACAATGCTAGAATTTCCTTCTTCTTAACTTTTAAAGCAGGGCGAGGAATCAGCGGGACTCCTGATTGTGTTGGACTCCAACCTCCATCATCCCTGATCATTGGTCATACTGGCTGATGGGAGCTGGAGTCCAGCAGCATCTGAAGAGCCTAATTTCCCCTCTCCCCTCCTCCCTGGATAGTAACAACAGGCCACACTATCACACAAAGTTGGATGTACAATTGCAAAGTACTCTGTGCAAAAGCGCTCTGACAAAAAACCAATGAGCCTTGTGCATTTCCAACCCTACATGCATGCATAGCCAAAGCAGGCACAGAAGACACCTGGCATCTTCCCAGTATGACAGGATGTACAGTATTTCCTTTTGAATTCCACCACTACCACGCCAAATTTGTACCTATACATATAAGCTGTTGTTGTTGTTGTTTAGTCGTGTCCAACTCTTCGTGACCCCATGGACCAGAGCACGCCAGGCACTCCTGTCTTCCACTGCCTCCCGCAGTTTGGTCAAACTCATGCTGGTAGCTTCGAGAACACTATCCAACCATCTCGTCCTCTGTTGTCCCCTTCTCCTTGTGCCCTCCATCTTTCCCAACATCAGGGTCTTTTCCAGGGAGTCTTCTCTTCTCATGAGGTGGCCAAAGTACTGGAGCCTCAGCTTCATGATCTGTCCTTCCAGTGAGCACTCGGGGCTGATTTCCTTCAGAATGGAGAGGTTTGATCTTCTTGCAGTCCATGGGACTCTCAAGAGTCTCCTCCAGCACCATATGGTCCAGCTCTCACTTCTGTACATCACTACTGGGAAAACCATAGCTTTAACTATACGGACCTTGTTGGCAAGGTGATGTCTCTGCTTTTTAAGATGCTGTCTAGCTACCAGATGCAAATCTGTGCCCTCTTTTCATGAGGAGGTGAATCAGGTCTGCTGCTCTTATTCTGCCCCCAAAGCACTTTTTTTACTTCTTCTTTTGCATTAAGAGACACCACAACCACCGCGAAAGATTTTCAAAACCTTGCAAATGCCTGCCAAATATTGGGATAAATCAACATGCAGACTTCGGAAACGAAGGGTCCTAGCTCAGTGGTAGAGTATCTGCTTTGCACGCAGACGCTCCCGACGGCTCAGCATATCTGAAACTCCGGAGAACCAGTGCCAGTCAATGCCGACGGTACAGAGGTTGCCGGCGACCGGTGGTCTTTCTCTATAGAAGGCAGCAACTTTCTCAGACTTTCTCCTCCAGGGAAGTGCGGCTGCCCAGAGCACGCTTAAGCAATAGCTTCCCCTGCTGGCATGTTTCGGCATCACTGGAAGGGAGGATGTTTCTGAATTTTAAGCACTGAAATTAAGCGGTGTGCTCTCTCAACGTTAAAATGACCCGCGGTGGGGCAGGGTGCGCTCATTGCAGCGGGTAAGTTAAAAGTCATTTAAAGGGACAGGACATCTGATCATGAATCTCCAAAATCTAGTTTTGGCCTGGGAGAGAAGGGGTGTGTGAGAGAAAGAGAGAGAAATAAAATACAACAATCCCTTCAATAACCATTTCAAAATTCAGTCCAAAACTAGATTCTCAGTTCCAAGACAGACAATACAAAGACTGATAATTCAAAGACTGATTATTCAATAATATGTTTTATATATTCTATGAGCCGCCCAAAGTAGCTGGGGAAACCCAGCCAGGTGGGCGGAGTATAAATAATAAAATTATTAATTATCATTATTATTAAGGAAAGAAAGAAAGAGTCCCTAGCAGGTAACTAAGTTTATTGTTTTTTTGAAAAAGCCTCTTGTTTTATGTCCTAGATTTTGATTCCTGAGGTGCTTTCTGGGTAAATTGCCTCCCTGTTCCCATCAGCTACTGGTTCATCCTAGAATCATAAAATTAAAGAGATGGAAGGGACCCCAAAGGATATCTAGCCCAACCCCCTGCAATCCAAGAATCACTGCTAAAGAATCTCTGACAGGTGGCCATCCAATCTCTGATCAAACACCTCCAGTGAAGGAGGTTCCAGCAGAAGATGTGAGATATGCCTGGCCAAAGCCGTCCCAGACCCAGACGCTGAAACTTGCTCCCCATCGGCAGTGATCGTTCCCACCTTCTCTTCCCTTTCGGATTGATGTTCGAGGCTCATCAGTTGCCGGTGACAGACACACAAACCTGCCCCGGCTGTGCATTGCACTGATCACGTTAAGGCTCTGGGCAAACCAGTCGCCCATTGGATAGAAGCAGGATCCCTAGCTCCACCTTCCGGAAGTTGATTGGATAAGCGCATTCCCTCTTCTACCTGCCCGGTTTGCCTAAGGAGCAGAAGGAGGGAGAACCTGCCCTAAGAAAGCTTGCTTGCTGCTGTTTTGAAAGTAAAACAGCTTATCCTTTATTTTAGGATCCGTGCTGAAATTCCTTTATCTTGCCTGGTTACCAATGGCGAGATTAAACAGGTTTGTTTTCTTTTATAGTCTCTGTCCTCTCCCTTACGCGCGCGCAACTTTGCCTTTTCTGTGCTGCATATAAAATCCCAGTAAACTTAATCAGTTCTTCATTTTGGGAGTCTGCTATGATGGACAGGTCTATAAACAATAAAATGTGCACTGTGAGGGTTGCAGGCATTCCATTTCATCCACCCCCTTTTTTCCCCCCTTTTCTTTCTTTCTCCACACACAATCAATTGCCCTTTGGGAGTTATTTTTTATTTTATTTTTTACTTTTTATTTACTAAAGATAGTGTAATGAGTTCATGGGTGCAAGACTAAATTCTGGATCAAGCTAGTGTTAGAATTTAATTAAGGCTTGTGTGTTAAAGCCGCGTGTCATACTTCCACATCTAAGACTCTAATCAAGACCCGTGTGTATTAAGCTGCGTGTTAGACATCCCTTTAATTCTAGGAAATCAACAAGCCTCGCCTTAGCCTTTATTTTACACAAACACACAAAGTTTCTAGTCCTCATGTTGAGAAAGAGATGCTTGACAAGGTGGGGAAACCTCCAGTGATTTGGTAATGTTCTGCCCTGCTGTCTCAGGAACCATCCCTGGTATTTCCGGTTGCTCTGACTTGGCAGCCGATTTGTGAGTCATTAACTCTCTCACTCCCCGCCCATTGTGCTATTGATTTCCTTGTTTTCATACCCAGCGATGGTGTCAGAGCAGACGGGACACATCTTGACACAAGGTGAGTAGTGAGAACTCCGTGGGTTAAAATGTGTATTTGTGGTGCAAAGTGCCCTGTGTCCTAGGACCAAGTAGTTAGGGTAAGGAAGGGTGGGGTGCTAATGCTGTAGAAAAGAATTATATCTCTATGAGGGATAGAATACAGTGCCCAGGATTCTTTGGGGGAAGCTCTGTGATTTAAATGTGCTTTATCTCTATGGTGTGTGTGCAGACTCAGAAAGAAGGTTTAAGAAATGGAACCCTTCTCTGCTTAACGATGTATGTCAGACCAGGGTGTGCTTCCAATAATAATTTTTATTGAGTATTTATCATGATCTGATTACAGGGAAACCAGACAGCTTTGGCTACCAATGAGCATTCATGCTGATGTGTTTGCTGGGAGGTTAGATGGCATTGCGTTGGAGCAAGTGTTATCCCACACTTTCCAGAGAATTTTCCCCATCACTTTCCTTCACACCAAAAGTCCAATCTTTGAGGGAAGCTGGTTTGTGGCACAAGATCTCCCAATCCACTATAACTGTGTGACTTGAGTTTGCTGGTTTTTGACTCAATCCCACTCAAGAATAGTGACAGTCTGGAAGCACTCAGAGTGGTTTGGAAAAACAACTGAGTTCACCCGCACAATCCATGTAAAGCACTCCTATACACGATAACAATCATGACCCTCCCCTCTCTGGAATGCTGGGAACAGTGATTTTTAAGGGGTCTCCCAATGATTCTCAGGACCCTTAACTGCAGTTCCCATGATTCTTTGTGGGGGGAGCTGTGGCTGTTAATGCGGTACAAAACTGCTTTAAATGGATGGTGTGGATGTGTCCAGCAAAACAAGCCTTCCAGAACAAGAAATACCTTGAAGCATTGCTGATAGATAGGGATGGAGAGAAGGAAGGAACTCCATCACTTCAAGGATGAAGAGAACATAAGAAGGTGTTCTTTGTACAAGGACCAGGGGTCCACCTAGCTCAGCACGGTCTGCACAGCAGGGCAGGAGCTGTCCAAGGTTTCAGGCAGGGGACATTGCTAGTCCTACTTGGAGATTTAATATAGCATCTTCTGCATGCAAGGTAGATGCTGTTCTGCTGAGCTATGACTTTTCACCATACAACAGGGATACAATGCACAGTTTGTCTGTGATGCTTCCTATACCCCGATGTTAGTTCCCACGGTGGGAGCAGGAGGAACGTTGTTAGGGGCTGGCTCAAGGGGCCAAAGACCCAGGTCTTGCCTGCTTCACCCCGTCTCCACTGCCCCATCCCTCCTCTTTTTAAAAACAAATGCTTTTTCAAAAGGTTTCACATACAAGGTAGCTGGGAGTGCACCCAGAGTGCAGAGCCAGTAAAATCCCATATAGACACCCCCTTAATTTGCCCACAGTCAACTCATACAATTATGTGACATGGGTCTGTGCTCCCAATCCTTTAAGTACTAACCCATTCTGGGGGGGGGGGCAGCAGCATGGTATATTCTCCCATAACCCTGCACACCAAAAACTAAATCCATGAGTTACATTTTTCAGCCAAAAGACCATGACAACTATACAGAATTTGCTATAACAGGTAGTGATTTGATGGCCACTAGCTCAGATGGCTTTAAAAGAGGATTGGGCAAATTCATGGAGAATATCAATGGCAACTAGCCATGATGAGTATTGTTTGTTTCTTACTAAATAAAATCACAAATGTTGCTGGTGGCAAATCAGCAGCTCCAGCCTAGACCCCAGCTGTGTTCTCAGTTAACATTTTTGAGGAGCAGTTTTGAAAGCTGCCTATATTAAGCAGGGAAAAGATCCCCAGACCTTTTCTATTCCTGGTTGTGTTAACCCATCTGGATCTAATATGATGTAAAAGCAGTGATACCAACTTTAACTGACTTGTCAATGAGTGGAGGCTGACTAAGCCACACTTGAGATGTTGTGCTACAAATCGCCCCAGGCCAGGGTTGAGTCAGAGGCTGGAAATATGTAGGTTGGTTTGTTCCTCCCTGTGTCATCTGCAAAGTTTTCCTTGAAAGTGTCCTTGATTCCTTGTCATGCTGGGCTCTCTGTATAAAAGCAGAGCGGGACAGATTGCTCTTGGCAAAGGGAGCCCGGCCCAGTTCTCCAACTCAGGTAAGGCTTGGACTTCGACTTGATCCATGACAGAAGCAATGTAAGAGTCCTCAGACGGGCCACATCTTAAAACTCAGCCACGGCTTGTGCCAAAGCTTCAGCGTCAACCTGGGTAGAGCATTTTGGGGCAAGGAAATCTGGGACGTCTCCAGTCCCACTATTTACAAAGTTAGAGGTAGCATTATTATGCCCATCACAGTGATTAAAGGCATGTGAGAAGGTTAGACTGGAGGAAAAGGGTCCTAGCCACAATGGCTATAGTCTGCCTCTACTGTCAGGGGTGATATGCCTCTGAATACTTGTACTCAGGTCTTGCTTGCAGGCCTCCTGAAGACCCATCTGGTCAGCCACTGTGAGGATAGAGTGTTGGATGAGAAAGACCCTTGGCTGGATCCAACAGAAATATTTTTATGTTCTTATTAAATGCTTTGAGTGCCTTGACTGATCATCAGGAAGCTGCTTTGGAGTCCACCTGCTAGGGATTGCACCTTGCAGCATAGCGCCTTCGGGACTTTCTATGGAGATAAAACTGTATTAAAATATAAATTTCAAATAAGCAGTTCAGGGCAAATTCCACTTCCCAATAACCTTTAGAAATATGGTTCCCAATGTGGGGCACACGCCCCACAGGGGGAGCAATTTGAATTTTATGGGGGGGGCAATTTGGAAGCTTGTTTAGACCAAGTTAATGGCCTTTTAGGCTTCCTCCATGTGAATAGGACTTCACTTTTTGAATAATAAGAATTATATATCACAGAGGGGCATCAGGATTTTAGAGATGCTTAGGTGAGGCATGGCCAAAACCAGGTTGGGAACCCCTGCTTTAGAACCGACCTCGCCACACGATGTAGCAGGCCCCTGTTATGAGGACCCCATTGAGAATTTCCCTGACAACAGGCAATGATGTGGTATTATTTATGGTGGGGGGCGTTTTCCAGTGAGAAGGGGCTTCTATTTTGAACTGGGGGTTGTTCAAGAGCCATGACATGGGGCAGATTTCTGTGTACACCATCAGGGCAATGTCAAGTCATTAATTTGCCAATTTATTCTTTTACCATCCTTGGGGGCGCCATTTTGTTCTTCCCACCTCAGGAAGCAAGCCTCTTGAGACCACCTCCATCCTTCCTACCTCACTTGGCTACCATCCATCACCTGACAAAGAACAACAAAGGGGTCAGCAATGGCAGAGAGAGGCCCACGTCCAGGGCTGACCACGGCACTCCTCTTCCTGGCGGCCTGCTTGGCCGTGGCCGGTGCGGAAAGTTACCAGAAGTTCTTGAGGCAGCACGTTGACTTCCCAACGACGGAGGCTCCTGACCCCCGGAGCTACTGCAACCTTATGATGAAGCGCCGCGACCTGGCCACCTCCCACCACTGCAAGCACCTCAACACTTTCGTCCATGCGGACACCTCCAAGATCCAGCTTGTTTGTGGCGAGGGTGGGGTACCCACCACAGGGGACCTCCGGGAAAGCAATGCCAGCTTCCCCCTCACGCTGTGCCAACTTCAGAAGGGCTCCTGGGCCCCGGACTGCAGTTACAAAGGGACCGATAACACAGAAAGGATCATCATAGCCTGTGAAGGGGGATATCCCGTCCATTTGGAAACCGAAGTCCCAGCTGATGTGGGGCAGGAGGACCTGTGATGTGTGGAGCCAGGAAAAGCAATCCATGTATTTCCATATATATATTTGTCTCTATCTGATTTTCCCTCCTAACCATTATTAACTGAAAAGAAAATCTCACTTTAGTTCACCTATTCCACTTTTATCTCGAGAAGAAAAGATAATTTATTGAATGTAGTCTTCAGATTTTTCTTTCTCGTTTCCCTCCTACCATTTCTTCCATTATCTAAGAATAAAATTCTTGCTTTTCACATATTTTATGTTGAAAATAAATAAAAAACAAGCTGAATTTGATATTGACTTGCTTCCTTTCTTTGGTTTCAATATTGCATTGGGGTTAAAAAAACAACAACAAAGTTTTGGACAATGAGTAGTTTCAAGAGCATAAAAAGAAGACTCCCCTTGCAGTGTACATCTTTAGAGTAAACTAGGGACATTTCTCCCTCACGTGGAACTCAGGAGGTCCTGGGAGATCCCTACAATTTCTGTGTCTCTAGAGTAAACTTGGCGTGAGTTTTCCCGCACGCAGAACTCACGCGAGCTGTTGATGAAAACACCATTCCGAGGTTCTAATGCTTTTCCTGCAGGTTTCTTGATAGTACTTCAAAAAAACAGGGCTCGTCCGGGATTTGAACCCGGGACCTCTCGCACCCTAAGCGAGAATCATACCCCTAGACCAACGAGCCGGCCACTTGGGGAAAACTCTGAAGGTGTCTTTTTCTGTTTTGATGCCTCCTGGTGGCAACAGCAGTGTTTTCCTTCCTGCTCTGAGAGTTTGCTGCCAACTTTTTACTGTCGTCGCTTTTAAAAAGCAACCTATTGCTAGATCAAAAACTTTCTTCCGCTCCGTGATTTTTTCCCCTCATTTGTAACAGAGGTGGGAGAAATGCGAGCCTGTCTGCATGGGCCAGGAGATGATTATTTAGGGATGAGACTGAACTGGATATTCTCCTCCACCGTTGTAGAAAAGCAAGACGCCTATTTTGGGTAGGGGAATGCAGAAGAAAAATACAATGAACCCTGGGAATCCTGAGTTTAAACTCCCGGATGTGTTTTGAATCATAACACTGACTCACCCTAGGACTTTTTAAAATAAAAAATGGGTTTCTCTGAACATGTACAGAATGCCTCCCCCACCCCACTAAGAGACCATGAAGAGGTTCCTGCCCCATCTGATCCTTTTATATTTTTAATGGTTTAACGGGGCAAGCCTATCCGGCGATGCATATTTACACGGAAGTAAATCCTTTTAAATTCCCTGGGACTTCACCACGGCTTACTCCTGAACTCAGTGATCCTTACTTCTGAGTAAAACATGCATAGGCGTTGCACCGGGTCAACAGGGCTGACTCTTGAACTCAGCCATCCATCCTCCTTACTTGTGAGTAAACATGCACACTACTTAACACTGTAAGTCGTTCTCCAGTTCCTTTTGCAGAGCACACAAAATTATCAACTTCTCTTGCCTGGTTTTAGTTCTCGGGATCTAATTTCCCTTCCAAACACACAACCCCAAAATAAAGAAGATGTAGGAGGATTGCGATCTAAATCGTGAAAAAACAAAAACCCACTCTTACCATCCAGCTGCCTTGTTCCAGGACTGTGGGAAAGGAAGTTACTATATGCCCTTTTAAAAGACCATCAGATTAGAGCCCCTTTAACCAGATTCAAAATACTGGTAGCGACGACGAACATAGCAGCAGCTCAACAATTTGGATTATATAGATTTGCCTGGAGACTGTACGAAGTTTATTGCTGGTGCAAGCATAACAAAGGCCCCAGCGAGATTTGAACTCGCGACCCCTGGTTTACAAGACCAGTGCTCTAACCCCTGAGCTATGGAGCCTTGTACACAAAGGCTATTTAGTCCAATGCTCTAGAAAGGTTGGAGTCTAGAGGCTTCCGGGTTTTGCTGGACAGAAAGAAGTCTTCCAAATATTTTTCTGGCACTTTTTTTTATTACTCGGCTAATGTATCCCGCGACACACAGCTGCTCCCCGGAGAGGCTAGCAATACAACTTTTAAAACCACAATACAAAAATAACTTAATTAAAACTTCTTACTAGATAAACAGCAGCGCAGTGAGGAGGGGATTGAATCGGGAAGGGAAAGCTAATAAAAAATAATTGGTAAAGCAAAAACACACCAGAGCCGAGACCCTATCTTCTATAATATCACACACACACACACACGCAAATTATAATATGCTCAGTCATGTATATAAGTATTGCTTACTTCAGATTTATAAAACTTGCCTTAAAAACGTGTAAAAATACTCAGATCTGTGGGCTAGCATTGCTTTCAGCGCAATCCTATGTAGGCTTGCTCGGAAGTAAGCGCCACTTCGTTTAAGAGTTTGATCCCTCGTACGTGAGTTTAAAATTGCAATTATTTTATTTTTCTTTAAACTCTCTTTCAACTTCATACCCACCTCTGTAGAGAACAGGGAGAAAACACCCATTCTGTTCACCGTCCATAACCAGTGATTTTATACTATTTGCCCCAGCCAGCATGTCAAAGTGATTTGTTAAACGTAAGAAAAAGTTGGGCTCGTCCGGGATTTGAACCCGGGACCTCTCGCACCCAAAGCGAGAATCATACCCCTAGACCAACGAGCCAGCTGACGAGCATATTCCGCACCCTTTATTTAAAGTTGGAAAATTGGTTGCGTTCCACGTGTACGCTGCTGTTATCTTGAGAACTGAACTTCAACGCCGCCTACTGGTGGGAATTTGGAGCTCAACCTAAAAGAGCGGACAGACATAAACGCTGCGTTTGAAGAGCTCGATTAGCTCTACCTCTGTAAATCGGCCTGGCATGTAAAGATTGTCCAGCAGCAATCAAACTCATGAGGACGATTTGCAAAATCAAGACCGTCCTTGGATATATCTGTACGATAAAGAGGCAGTGGGGTTGTAGCCAACGCTCGTCCTTCTCAGAGTAGACCCATTGAAAGTCAGGAGTCAACGTTTGCCATGCCCATTAACTTCAATGGGTCTGCTTTCAGTAGGATTAGCATTGGATATGGCTAATTGGCAAAGAGGGGTCTTGCTTATATATATATATAATATATAGTCTGACCCACCACATGTTCTGAGGGATGGTGAACTGGCCCACGGCTGAAAAAGGTTGCTGACCCCTGCTCAATATCCTACGCAGCCACACAAATAGTAGCGGCTCACAGCAGCTTACTGAGACAGGACATCGGGACATCAGGACATCGGGAGAGCACTGTGTTATCAGGCCAGTAACCCATCTGGTTAAGCATCTTGTCTCAGTGGCCAACCAGAAGTCCACAAGCAGACACTCTTTCCAGCAACTGAGCTATATTACAGCAGCCTAATTTAGGGGGAGAAAGTCCGCCTGTTGTGGCCGTTGCTGTTGTTAAGCAAACTGGGAGTCAGAACCCTGCTGTCTTTACTGCAAACCACCCACAGATCTACTAAAAGATCCCGATCTACTTCGTCTTCCCCAACTCAGGGCCTGTAAAAACGGTAATTAAGAATTGTGTCTCTGGGGACGTACAGAGCGCAACTCCTTCACCCATGTGTGAATCACCAGCATCAAGGGTGCCAACTTGAATGAAATATTTCAGGGGGGCAGGTAAGCCCCTCCCACATAACTGATCACATGACATGTGGTGCATGCACACTGTTTGAATGGCGATGCCCACCAGCTTTAGGGGGGGCTGACTCCAACTCCCATCACCCAACATGGTCCATTTTTGATGGGAGCTGTAGTATAACGATGCCCGGGGGATCCTCTGCTTGCGATTTACAATATATTATTCCCTGTTGTTGTTAGTGAATCATTTTGAATTGGTGCTGATTTTCGTCATGTAAACGTTTTTCTGGTGTTGAGCTACTTCTGAGCACAGCTTACCCTGGAAAAGTGATGATGATGTTGTTGATGAAATGCTAAACTGTGTGCCGCTGAGTCAGGAGTAGCCATTTAGGTTTTCCTTGTAATTGTTAGTGAATCACCTTGAAAAGACACTGGCTTTTGTTATGTAAACTTCCTCGGATGTTGAGGCATTTATCAACCACAGCTTACCACAGAATTAGCACGTGAATAAACCAATGCTGATTACATGCTATGGGCTGATCGGTGCCTTAGAATTGTTTTATTATACTCTGTTTCTCAAATTTTGTTTGTTCCCAGCTCTGAATATTATAGTCTGATATTCTTTCAGTTCAAAATACTTTGGGAAATAAACATTTATCCTTTGTATGCTTATGGATGTGTTTACATGTTATCTGTTTGAGCTATATAATAAAAGCCTAGGTGCCGTATTTACGGGGGGTGGGGGGGAGAGAGAATTGTAGAATTGGAAGGGACCCTGAGGATCAGAAATATGCAGCTGCCCCATATGGGGATTAAACCTGCAACCTTGGGGTGTGCATATGCTGATGGTAGAAATGATGTGTCTGTTTCCCCAACTAGTGGTTCTAGGGAACCCGGGAAGCGGGACAAAACTCAGAGAATGAAAGCTCTAGCAGTTCACCCTAGCAACATTTCAATGAGGCCTCCATAAAGAGGCAAGAGAGGGAATAATGATGTACACAGTGATCAGAGAATTAGGATTATCCCTGATAAACAGGGAGAGTTGGTTATATATGGGCCATTATACAGTCTGGACGGACACATTAAACCAGGGGTTGCCCAGGGACCCACCCCCAAATTATTTTCTATGGATCATTGTAAATTTGGCATTGGCATCCAAACATTTAAAGCACGCAAACACGTACAAAAATAATCCTGGGAACCATTTGCTAAGGGTGCTGGGAATTGTACTTCTGGGGGTGGATGGGAGGAATTATTATAGTTCACAGGATTCATTGGTGGAAGCCCTGTGTTTTATGCTTACATATAAGGTGTGGGAGTGTTATGTACTGAGCTTAGATCCTTGAACAGTAGACAAGTAAGATCCTAGAAGGCAGCAACCTGATTGGTCTGCAGGAGCCGCCCAATCCGGCTCCAGGAGGAAGTGAATCAGCAACCCAATTGGCCTGCAGGAGCAGCCCAATCAGGCTCCAGGAGGGGAGTTGAATCAGCCAATCACACGGGACCCATTGTGTAAATAATGTATATATAGCCAGAGGGTTGGGGGGGAAAGGACTCACTCACTGTTTACCATGAGCTGAAATAAAGAGCATGAAATCAACACTCAACTGCGAGTATATTTCAGGGAGCAAGATTTCATTAGTTGGGGGAAAGGCTT